AGTTTGAGCTTTTGAACTCTGTCGCAACACGAATAGAAATTCCACTACCATTTCTTGAGGAGACTTCATTGTGCTGCAGGTTTTGCTGCTTTTTAGAGCTGTTGGTGAGGCTCACTCTCAGCCCTGACCTTGAGCATTTACACAGACACAAAAGCGACCGGGCAAAAGCATTCCTCGGAGCAGGTAAATAAAACCAACTAATCCTTCAGAGGGGCCTTGTGTCTGCGGAGAGAGCAACTGTTTCAACAAACGTTTGCTGGCATTCGCAAACAAAAACGGACTGGCAACTGTTGTGAAGTGTGAACGGAATAAAGGTTGCCCATCGTTAAATTCCAATCATTCATCTTGATTGCGTAAATATTTACCCAAGTGACAATCAGTCTGCTTTCTAAAAACGCAATTTTCGAGGAGCTTAGAAATTTATGACAACACCTAGGTTACAGCGTTTGACAGAGATTGGTGTGGACAACAGTTCTTCCTAATGATTACTTTTTTAAATCTATTTTTTTTCTTTGCAGGCTCAAGAAAGTGATGCTTACTTGATATAAAAAATTCGACTGCAGTTATGTTTACAAGACATTGAACTTATTTTTATGAACTTATAATTATTTTTGCTGCTTGTTGAAACTACTCGTTTAACCCTCATGTGCTGTTGGGGATGTTGTCATCCACTCTGGGGTGACTTTGTGTCTTAATTTGTTCATAACTTTCTCTGTGTTTCAGTACCAAATCTTGGTGACAAATCTTATTTTGACACATTTTAGGAAAAATTCTTCAAATGTTTTTTTTTTTTTTAACACTCAACAATACACTCTGGGCAAATGTACTACACTTTTGTTATGTTTGGGATGAAAACATCCACCAAATTTTACTGCTTTAAACATTAATCAGATAAATATTCTTTCATTTTATTTTGCATAAATCTGTTAATAAACCTCAGTCCTGATCAGGATTTAATTTTCTTTAATTGCCAAATTCTTAAATGATGTCACTGATTTGGTAAAACACACACACACACACACGCACGCACGCACGCGCACACACACACACACACACAAAATGACGTATTTTTAATATAAATAGTAATTGTGGACTGGATTTTTTTTTACCTTTTATCAAAGTCTTTTTTGACATGTGAAACATCATTGCCTTTGATTTTTGATACTTTTTATTTTTCTCTCCCTATTTTCCTGTTGGTGGCTGTTTTTGCCCCATTGAATTCCATTATAACCACATTTTTTGAATTACAAAACCATGGCACCATATTATCATACATTTTTGATTGTTGGTGGCTTTCCCTGTTGGGAAGAGATCAAATTTGTCATTTTTACAGTTGATCATTAGTTAACACCATTAACCCTTTGGATAATGTGCAAAAAAAGCTTAGTTTCTGGATTTTATATGTAGTATAACAGCAAATTAAAGTGTATGTGTGTGTGTCTGTGAATGTGATCTTTCACACGTACCTTTATGTGTTTGAGAAAATCAAAATATACATCCCAGCTCTCAGAACTACATGAAGCAAATAAAAACAAAGATTGTGTATTTATGCAACATCACATGTAGTTATAATGGAAATCAATGGAGCAAAAACAGCCACCAACAGTAAATTAGTGTAGAAAAAAATCCAACTCTTAACAATCACATCAAAGCCAGTTTGTTACTAATTGTTTACCTGTCCAATACTTTGATAAAAGGTAGAAAAAATCCAGTCCATAATAACATTTTATACTGAAAATATGTAATTTTGTGTGTTTTTTCTTTACTTAATCAGTGACATAATTTGTGAATTTGGCAATCAAAGAGATAAAATCCTCTAATTTTCTAACCAGTTTAGTAGTTTTGATCAGGACTGAAGCTGACTAATAGATTTATGCAACAAATGTGAAAGAAATATTTATCTGACTGATTTTTTACATCAGGTTTAATACAGTGGATGTTTTCATCCTGAACATAAATGTAGTAAATTTGAACAGTGCGCAAGGGTTATAAAAAAAAAAAAAAAATCTTACTATTTTCAACTTAATTGGTTTATTATTGTTGTTTGTCCTCTAAATTGAAAGCAAAGATGTAAATATGATTGTGATGTTATATTGTCATATTTTTATTACATCTTAACAAACAGATTGTTCAAAACATTTGTTTTATATGCCAAAGCTCTGATAACATTTCTTTAATTAAAAACAAAAGTAAGTTCTAGTTTTTTTATTTCCAAAAAAAAAATTAAAAATTATTAAAGTGTTTAGAATAATAATAATAATAATAATAATAATAATAATCATCATCAAATTTGAAAACTGAAAGACAGGCTGAAAGTCAGTCCCCAAATATTGATTTTTTAACTCTTCTTAAAACATTGACATTGTGTTGTCTGAAAATGTACATAAACAAGCCTTAAAACATTCCACCTTTTTGTTATTTTAAAGTTCTAAACAATATTTATATTTTAAGTATTAAAACAAGTATTAGTAAATCAAGAGAAACAAAGAATTCAAGTGATGTTTTACAAACTATTCCCCAAAGCTGAACAGTCAAAACAAATTGAATCTATGAAAGCAACTGAAAAATGCTATATTTTGCATTCCAGGGCTGTACACTGATAAATCATACAATGGGCTATATGCACACAGACTTTTCATTTCAGTCAGAAAAAAAATAAAAATAAAAAAGTGTGTGTGTGTGTGTCTGCCTGGCTATGATTTAAAGTGGGTATCAGAACAAACAAGAAGCACTGCATTAAATGATAATTTACCACACCATGTTTTTAAAAATACTGGGGTAAAATTTATTTCCACTGTTTAATTGAGTTTCTGTGCTAGCCTGCTGCTATTTCGTCTCTTTTTATGCTTAACAACCAAATGAATGCTTAAGGTCATTTAACTGATTATATTTGACTTATATTAACACATCAATGCTGTAAAAATCTTATGAACCTGAAAATAGTCACATAAATCTTTCACCGGAAGTTCATCATTGGCTGAAAAACACTAGCTGTGCATATAGCCCATTCCTTCATGTTGTCGCAACTCAAATCGATTAAGTTAACTTGATTGTTTTAACAAATTTATGTGGATCAAACATAAAACAATTAAGTTAGCCTAAAGAAAACTAAAGAATGGTGTTGATTCAGCTCATTTAAAGTAAGTAGTTTAAACAAGCAGCATTTTTAGAGTGTAGTTGATGTCACTTTGTTATCAAACACTAGATTTGGTCCTGTAATTGGACATTTGTGTTTTGTTTGTGAAGTACTTGCACATACAGACTAGCTCAATATATGCACAACCTGAATTTCACAAAGTGAAGTTTCAAACTAATTTTGAGAGGAGCATGTGATATGATTGAGCATGACTGGGTGCTTATCTGTAATCAGTGATAATCCAATCAGGGGTGCGTTTCCCAAAACCATCGTTAGCCAACTAAGGTCGCAAGTTCCGTCGTTACAAACAGTTTGTTGACTTGCCGCTTCCCAAATCCGTCACTCCAACGAACATTCGCAAACTGCGTTGCAAACTTGAGGACTCGCAACTACAGCTCTAAAGCTGTCGTTAGAACCATAGTTCTTGGCTGTGTTCTATTCCCACTTATGCCCCCCCTATGCCCTATTCATTTAGAACATTCTAACATTCAAAGTTGGAATTATTAAAAAATAAAAAGCATTAAGGTCATCTCTCTTAGGTGTGATTTGCTTCCAAAATATTTTTACAGCTCAGTTTTAGCGATCTTCATGTTTACAATTGTGCTCCCTTCGTAGTGCACTTTTCAAAACATTGGTGTCATTTTGAACACAGCCTCATGGCGAAAGCTGACATTATTTAAAAGCGGAATTTATGTTCTGTCTCCAAAGCTTGTGAAAACAAAAAGCATATGTTAGTTATTTTAATTTATAGTGGGTTATTTATTAAATTTCTGTACTGTATATGACATGGGCCTGCTGGTTAGAACATTTCTGCAGTGGTTTACATGTCTCAAATTGTAGAAGTAGACTTTTAAAAATAAAAATAAATAAATAAACAACATCCTACTTAATAATAATAATTATTATCATCATCAACATTAATATTATTAATAATATTATTAAAGTATGTTTTTCCCTTTGTAATAAATAATAAATACTACATTACATTTCTTAATAAATAGCCTCATTATTTATTTATATGATTTATATATGATATTAGAATACATGTTAGCTTTTGTAAGTGATTTGTTTTAGAATAGAATTTATAATGTTCAACTTCTCACTACAATTAGCAAAGCAAACATAGGCCCTATGTGCCATTTAGATATTTTTCAGTTAATATGGAAAGAGAGTGCATATTTTACCAAATCTAATATTGGATTTTATTTTAAATGTGTGTGCGTGTAAAACAGTATAATTAGCACACGAAATTACGGGCTTTTCCTCTAAATTTGTTACTCCATCCCCGTTTATAGCATAATTATGGGTGTTTTACGTTATAACTAACATGGTTCAAGCTATGGATCTGCGACAGAGAAACTACGGGTTTTGGGAAACACTCGTCACTACATAGTTCTTTTCCCAAACGATGCATCGTACTATGATAGTTCAGCCACGAGTTGCATCGTTGTTTGGGAAATGCACCCCAGAGTGATCCAAGCTTATTAAATGGATCATTTTTTCCGTACTGCTCTATCTTCGTTTTGGAAGAATCCCCCCTTCCACCCCATCTCCTCCCTTTTCTAAGGAGAGCTTTTCACCTGATCTTGGATCCCCTTATATGCTTATTTAGTTGGCGGGAGCCTTGGGCTCAACTATCTCCAAGCTTAGGGTTTTCTCCAGGAACAGCGTGCCAAACCTGCTAATAACAGCAAACATATCTAAGTGGCAACTCTTGAAATTATGCATTTGTAACTTGAAAACAATAATGGTATTACTATTAGACAAGCCACCTTCAAAACATTTTAGAAAGATGCAAGGTCAATGTGAAAAGGCATCAATTTATCACTCAACAAAAACACCAACAACAACAACAAGGGCAACAGAAGATAAAACCCAGGAAAAGGATTTATTTCAAGCAATTATTCAAGTGCAAGTACAGTCAAAGGCATACAATCGGTTTCCACTTGACAAGCTCCAGAAAAGAGCTTCCTAAACAAACAGCATTTATATTCTTCAGAATTGAACATGAAGGACAGTCTGGCATTTCAGACACATCAAAAAACCGTTGCATTAACGCACAAAAAAAGCGGTGATCAAAACAGCATAAATCACTTCCTCCCATATACAATAATGATTTCCAAGCAATGCTTTCTTTTCATCCAACAACACAACCCATGTGTACAGCTGGCAAGAGCGTACAGATCATTCGGGCTTTGTGCGACTTTGTGAACTTTGGAAGTCAGTAAGGGTGCGGTCCCACAGACGCAACACTTCCACGGACCTGGGCTAATACAGAAAGGAAATCCAGACGCAACGTCCCCCTGCTTTAATACAGAAGGATTATGTGCACACAACACCACAGTGAGACCAACAACAGCCTTCCCATCCAGAAAGAAAGAACAGGTGAAAGAGAGAGAGAGAGAGTATGAAAACAGAAGTAGAGAGAGAGAAAGAGAAAGAGAAAAAAAGCGAGGGAATTCTGGTAGCGCTTAAACTGAGGAGCACCTGTTGAGAAATGAAGACAGGTTAGCATCATCTGGAGCAGCTTTACTGTAGATAGACACAACATTAATTCAAACTCATATCAAAAGGAGGGTTTTTCATCTTTTGATATTCAATCCCATGCCGTGGTTTTCAAAATCAGTGTTAGTTTCACAGAGAAATATGGAATCCCAGTTCTGCCATCAGAAAAAAAAAGTTATAATGTGACTTCTGAGAATTCTGACTTTCTCACACAAAAAGTGAGACGTTAACTTAAGTTTTTAACTCAATATTGCAAAATACAAACGTGCAAGTCTGAAGTCAAAATAGTCAGATATAAAGTCAATTGCAAAAAATGTCAGTATTTCAAGTCCAAATGTAGCAGTTCTTTATAAATCAGTGGCAGAAATGAGCTTTCATAGGAAACCTTGTACTCCAAATATTATAATTTGAGTGTATCAAGTTGGCAGACTAGAAAAATCTTTAATGGTATTTTCTTTAAAGTTAATAAACTCAAAAACTAACCTATCAAAAATCAAAACTATGAATTGTATGACTGAACTGAATATAAAACAGCCTTTGGTGTGTAAGCTCAAAACAATAACTAGACGACTCAAAAACAACCACAAAATTTAGAGACCAAATACAGTGCAAAGAGCTTAACGCAAAGATATCAGAGATCCACGTTATCATCAACATCAGTGTGTTTGGTCTTTAAATGAAGCACTTTCAGAATGAAATTGCAGTTGCAATAAACAACTTAACCATCAACATTATATGAACTCACACTTTTTTTTAGTTAGACATAACACTTGCATGTCTTGATAGAAGTAAATGTGACCATCACTAAACATTTGCTATACAGTTTAAAAACAGTAATGGAGTATATAAATCCTAAAATGTCGTCGCCCTTAAACTACACCACAACACAAAACCCTTATAAAAACCCCAACACAAAACTAAACAAACAGCAATACGTCCGTCTCCATATTAATCTTTTGCAAAACACACACAAAACGACACCATTTAAACATTCATTATCCTTGCACAGTCTGACACAAAGCATGATGGGAACTGGAACTTGTTCAGTCTAAAGAGAGAGTTCACCACAAATTGAAAATGTAGTCACTTTACTCACCCTTTATTTCTTCTTTTAAAGATAAAATCAGGAATATCAGCCTGATCTCATGAGAAAACGTGACTGTTTTACGCTTTTGTCAGTTTAGTGGCTAATTCGTACAAGTTTGTACAAGTTCAGCCGTACAGCGTGGCACCCAACCCCACCCCTCAACCCAACCGTCATTGGGTGATGAGCAAATTGTACTAAATTGTACAAATGAGATTGTAGCAATTCATACGAATTAGCGACTAAATAAAAAAGTTACGAATTGCTGTGAGATCTTGTTGAAAATACTGAAGCTATTGACAACTACAGTATTTTCTACTATGGAAGTCAACATAAAAAAATAAGTAGAGGGTAAGTAATATGACAGCTTTTATTTGTTTGAGTGAATTATCAATTCATTTCTCTTTGGTTTTAAATTGTTTAACTATTAAATTTGATTTAACAATTCAATACAACACTGATTAAAAACAAAATACCTATAATTCCAGCCTGATAACATGAGAAAATTTTATTCTTTTACGCTTTGTCAGTTTAGAGGCTAATTTGAGTTCAGTCGTACAAAAATGTACAATTTTAAAAAGGAGGTGTGGTACATTTATTACTGAAATAAAACAAATAAGACTTTTTCCGTAAGAAAAAAACATCAAGACATACTGTGAAAATTCCTTTGCTCTGTTAAACATTGTTTGGGAAATATTTAACAAAAAAAACAAAAAAAATTCAAAGGGGGGGCTAATAATTCTGACTCTAACTGTATATTAGGTTTTAGTTATGATAATCCCAAAATCATTCCACATAAATCCGCAGTTTTTTAACAAAATTCTGAGCAGAAATAACAAAAAATGTCCGCAGATTCTGTCTGGCCCTAAGAATAAGCCACTAAATCAAAATGTTATGAATTGTCGTGAGATTGCGTTGATAATACATGTTATTCTTTCTCTCTCACGATCACCAAAGCTAAACAGCAACTCTGTCATGAAACAACCAGAACGAGTTTGAGACATTTCACCATTCAGTCAATCATTACACTAACCTGATGATAACCAAGACACAACTCTTACAAAACAAAATCACTTCAAAATTACTTATAAGCCATGAACCAGATTAACTATGAATTAGAACACACTTCATTTATGGCACCATCCTTTCCGGATTCATCCATCTCTCAATTTGGCTAACCCTAAATTCCACCTTGTCGGCCAAAAAACCTCACAAAAAACAACTAAAACCAAACTTTTAATAGAGCGTATATAATACCGAGATTTATATACACTACCCTAAATAGAAATTTTGAAAACCAATGCATTTCAGAATATAAAAAAAGAGCATTTCTTTAATGAAAAACCCTCCTTTCGGTTCTCCTGAAGATCTGTCCTGAAAAAGAGAAAAAAATGGTTTAATTTGAAGGTAAAAATGACTGCTGCTAATGGGGAAACAGTGCACAGTTTGTGATGCTTAAACTGTAAGAACTTGCTAAACCATTATACAATTAAAGCAGCAGAATTTGAAAGTGTTACAAATTCTAAGCTGATTACCCTAATAAAAAAGTGCAAGTAATCAAATAATATTAAATATTAATATTAAAGCAATAGGCCATCCTAATATTTTTATATACCGGCCAATCGCAGCATAAACGGCATTAAACAGTAAGGTTTTGGTACTAAAAAACAAAAAGAAAGAAAATAAAATGCACATAGAGTGTGCCAGCCACTTGTGATCGACAGAAATAATAAATTAAATAAATAAATAAATAAATAAAAAAGTAAACCTCAAGCCTACTCTCAAGTACAGAACAGAATAGAACGCATTCTCTGTTATTTTGACTAGACTGTTTGTCAAGTCCATAAAAAAATGTCACATGTGTGATTACATCTGGGAAAGGGACATTTCCCCTCAAAGTTATTTAACACTTACAATGAAGTTACTAAAAGATTCAATATGAATCAGTTTTTCTGTTATAAGACTGATTTAAAATATGTCTTATAAGATTTAAAATGAGTCACTCAGACTGCTTTACGCGTTTTAAATCCACAGGATTCACTCTTCTAGTATAAATAAATACCTTCAAACCAAAAAATAAATGTTTGCATTTGCAACTTCAAAAATATTGGTCTTAAAAAAAAAAACATTAACTCAAAAGTAAACAAAAAAAAAAGATTGGAGTGCATCTACGTTTAGGTTAATTAACGTTCATAATCTTACCCATTATTATGCATTTTTGTAATTCCTGAAAACTCACAATGCAAACTATTAACACAAACATACACATATAGACAAAGAGGGATCAAACTGGGATCGACCATGCCCAACTACCACTCTACAACAGAAGATCAGCAAATTACAAGTGCATCTTTAAACAAGTGGATGCTGAAGGGTCGCGGTTAACATGTTAACTTTGAAAAACATAATGGACAAAACAACACCTCAGGTGCTTAAATCTACCCAACTCTGAAACACAATCTTCTACCTCAAATTTGGCAACATGAAAAAATGAACATTCAGGTGTATGGACAAAAAATATGTGTATGTTGTGTTCAGATTAAATAGGACTGACTCTTCAAACACAAATCAACATCAGACAACAGTTAATGGTGATAGACAGTTGGCTTCACATACCCGTATTTACATGGTATATATGTGACCATCTTTTATTTTTCATCTTTAAAATTTCCTCAAATAATAATCTCGAAGTTCTCAAATAACAAAACTGATGTAAAACGACCAAGGAATACTTTGTTCTATTGATATTTATATATATATATAAAAACAAACCGAGAAAAGAAATGTACCTGTCACATACTAGTTTTTAAACATGGGAAGATTTCGAGATGAGAAAACAACAGACTCGACAGTTTCACACAGTTTTTTCATTATATACATGGACACCGATAATAGTTGCTCCCAAACCCTTTGAAACGACAGACCTGGTTGTGTTGTTAACTATATTTATGTTATATTTCATTCACTGAAATGGCCCGAACATAAAAGACTCCACTATACTACTGTATCTGAAACAGACAAAGGTCTATTCTTTGAAGCAAAAAAATACAAATAATAAAGACGATGACATCATAACAGCGATAACCCATGATTAAAAGCCATGACATCACAAGATTGCATTACGCTCACTGGAGATATCAGCCCATATAGCAGTGCTCAAAACTAAATCTGTCTTCTGACACTCAAAGCCCTGTGTTACAACTAATGAGGAAAACAAGATGGATAAGGAAATATAGATGAAGGGATTAGGAAAGGTCTCTAACAGCAGGTGTTGACCAATCTCCAACTGACCTCAACAAGCCACTTGCATTCCCATCTCACTAACTTAAAAATGATCAACCAAGCCAAAGGTCTACCATTTATCCAGATCTCTCTTCACAACGAACTTAAAGTTGATCGAAATTCAACCAATGTCAACAAACACAGCAGCATCAAAATCTATAATAAAATCGCACGGGCCATGATTCAACCATCCTCTTCTCTACACAATGTGTGCTACGAGGAAAGAAAACCAAACATATTAAAAAAGGAAGGGGAATTTCTGCCTGATTTTTATACTTTCTTGGAAGCCATCTCAAACAACAATTAAAAGAATCTAAACATGAGACTCCAACACCGAAACTTAAAACCAAAGTATAAAAGTCATTTACTGTTGAATTGTTTTTCAGCTGTCCTTAGACACGCATTATGAACTACAAACCAGCTCTGCAGACCAGAACTCAGCTTCAATACATTTACAATGGTGAAAGCGACCATGAAAAACTAAAAATGGTGAACAGTCATGTACAATAGCCCAAAAAAAGAGACAATGACAATCTACATTGACTTCCAATAAAGACACACAACTAGAATTCAAAATCTCACAGTGGCTTCCAAAACAGCACAACCCAAACCGGTCCCTGAAGCGCCATAAAAGCACTTCAACATCTCTACAAAGCAGTGCTTTCCACACTGTGGTCGACAAGCTCAACGCAAAGACTTCAAATAAGAAGTCTTCTGCTGCCCTCTGCAGGTGACAAAAACAACAACTGCAGCATGCAGAGACCAAACAACCCATTTACCACCTTTGCTCAAGTCAATTACTGTGGAAAACTCCAAAAGAAATCAAGAATTCATAACAGAATGTGTCTAATAGTCTATATGGAGAGCTACAGGATGGGAGCAACTATTATCAAGTGCCATCAAAATGTCTTGGTTTCCTAACTTTCTTTTCAACTGCTGGTTTCAATCATTACCGATTTCCATATATATGTATATACACATGAAGATACTGAAACAAGAGCAGGACTTCATGCCAAAGTTGAAGTACTAATGTAAAGTAATGCTGTGCCATATCCAGCAGGACACAGCTAGTGTTGGGCTCTTTGTCTTTGATTCTTTCATGCATATGACTGGAGTTTGTCGACAGTGCTTTTCTGCATGGCTTCCAAAACGTTTGATTCTTGATTGTGCGTCTGTCTTCCAGAAAAAGACATGTTCTTCTTGCTCACTTCTCTTTTCTTCTTGACTTTCTCCTCAGCCATCAATAATGGAAACGTCGATGTGAGACAAATCTATCATGTGCCTGATTAAGGGAACATGTGATTGAAATGAGACACGTGCATTCAAAAGGCATCTCCAACAAAACATGACCGTTGGTAGAGTCACCATAGAGCTTGTTTTTAATGGGTAAGATATGCTAATGCTTCATGTTTCACTTGCCAAACATTTTTGCAAACTATTGGGCACATCAACTCGTCCAATTTGATCAATAATACCAACAGAAAACACCTAAATGTATTATATAGGCTTTTTTCTGTTGTGTTCACACCTGCATTTTGGCTCTTTTGGTTCGTTTGATCCAGAACAAAAAGCAAGATACATGATCTATTTAATCAAACTTTCTTTTGTAATTTGAGATTATAAGTTTTGTAATTAGTAATAAGTTTTGGACTACAGATTCCGAGTATGGGGCACCAAATTTGACTACATCCCTTCACTTTGAATTGATTGCATATATCAATTGTAATACTAATGTTTACAATTAGGACCTAACCCTAACCTCTTATTTATTTTAGATGTCCAAGCAGGAGGTGTGTAAAGTCAACTGGTTGTATAACATTGAATAATTATATTCAAAACAATCAAACTTTAATTTAAAGTTTGAAAAAGCTGACAACAAAACTTTAAAAGCTTCCAAAAACACAAAAAAGGCAAGGTAGGATTAAATGAGTTAAGATATGTTTCACTTAATGTTCACACTGTTATGCCAGATTAATGGCATACCTATACATATTGTGCCAGTACTTACTGAACAAACCATGCTGGATTGGACGAGGTATGGTATGTGTGTACATCTGATAGTATTAGTATCGGTTTAGAACTTGTATAGAGCTTAAAAATGTGTAAATGAGTCAAAATTGCAAGACACAAAGATTTGTTTCAAGTAAACAGGTTTCCAATGCCTGTATTAAAAATCTACTGGTCAGGATTGGGAATAGGATGAGAAAAGTCAGGTATGCTTGAGAACTCAGTTCTGTTTTGGTGTTGCATCTTGTAACAATATATGTCTTGTTTCTGATTAGTTTTAACGTTTGCGTTCATAATTCACTCTAATCATCTTTTGTTAATAAGTGAAAAACAAACTTTTTAGAGGTCTCAATATGTTTGTTTAGTGCACACCAGGTTTGGATAGCAGCATTTAAAATATGAACTGCACTAACAAAGTGCAGCACCAGGGTTTGTTTTAATCAAACTAAACCTGACAAGTGTGAACACACCCATAGAACTTCATTTTTACCTTCATGATCTGCTGAAAAATGTATATGAATGAATAGAAATATGTTTCTATTTATAATCTTACTCACAAAAGACATTTCAGTAGTATATTCTTGTTGTGAACTTACAAATTTAAGATAAAAAGGATCTTAAAGTCAACAGCTCCCTCGATATTTGTGCAGTGTGATGAAGTCAATCTTACCTGTGGAAGCTGTGCTGAAAACTCACTGCATGTTCTGGGTTTGCGAACTTGGCGATGGCCTTCCGCTGCTCAGGCAACATATTAAACCTCTGTAGAAGAAAAGCACAAATGACATATAGCTGTAGATTTTATTTTCTACATTTCTACTTTGTTTGCTCTGTATGATTGGGAACAACAATTTGGTAAAAAAAAATCATACGGGAATGCAACGCAAACACAAACAGCCAGATGGCGCAATTGTACTATTTTTCAAAAGATCATCCTATAAACCAGGGGTGCCCAAACTTTTTCGTTTGAAATGCCCAAAAGATTGATATGACTAAACCATTTCCATCATTCTCCTTCTCTTCTCAGATGGGACGGTGGGCCAAATCAAAGGTTACCATAGGACAATTTTGGCCTGCGTGCCCTATTTTGGGCATCTCTGATATAAAGTTTATTTTGGGGTCAATGTCTTGTGAAAAAATAAAATAAGTAAAGGTAATGTGAGGGAAATTAATAAATTAATTTATTAATCACCTAAAATTTTCTATAAGGTTTAACATTTGTATGCTTTTGAAAAAAATTGTTGAAATAATAATATATTTGCCAAATGCACTGGTTGTCCAAATATATTAATCCTCAATATTTCTATGTGAGGATGACTGTCTCATGGGTTTGTAACTGTGCATTGATTGCACATTAGTTTAAAAATTTGCTGAATTGGTGGTAATGCACACTTTTAAACCAATCAAAATGTAGTATTTAGACAGAAAGTGGTAAAAATTTGATAAAAACTATGGAAATCGAACATTTTAATACCTTTAAACTCAGGATTTGAACCACAAACTTATTTTTTTAACCAGTTATTTTCTACTCCACTTGTAATGCTCTCTTCACTATGTTCCACTCAGTAAAGCTCAATGTTTTCACCTAGCATATTGAAATATACACAAAGTGTTCAAAAACACACCAAAAAATTCCACATTAGATCAAGAAAATCTAAAGCTTTAAATATATTAATGAATGACGATGTCTTATGCTGTTTAACCAGCAGGTGGTGCTGCTGTCAATCCAACCAGTTCAAACGCTAAACATAGTTAAATGTTTAGTGTCAATTACATTTCTCAAGTGTCAAATCAGAACTGATCTTTTGTTATGCAAACAGCAATATAGTTCCCTGATGGATTAGTATATTAGCCATCCTCAAGCTTCTTATCGTTGTATTTAAAAGAAGGTCTAAATTCAAGCCCTTCTTTCTTTTGCCTAATCCTTATGCTGTGCTGCTTATATTTATAAGACAGTATAACAGTGGTCCTGTCAGCTGTGTGCAAAGGGTCCGAAACAAATAATGATGGGAAAACACCATCCTGCATGAACAGTGGAAGAATTTTAGAAGAACCTGACAGTTATTTATGACACCCTGTTCAACAACTTCTGCGCTAGTCCAAAATTAACATTTTGCCACACTTCTCAAAAGCCAGAGAGTTGAACAACATGAAACCGACTACACATTATTTAATTAAAAACAGCAGAAAGAAAAAAAAATAAATCACAAAATCTGCAGATTGTATTATTATTGAAAGAATTTATATATTAAAGATAAAGAATATTGAATTTTGGACTGAATTATATAAATCATTAATATGGTTAAAGTATACTCAGAATAATTTAAATGAATAGTGAAAAAAATAAAAACATTTGTAAAAGGACTGGGTGATTAAAATAAAATCTCAAAGACATTTGTGCAAAGCCGTGATTGTCTCGTACATCTTGTCAGGGAAGCAAGGTTCCGCAAAATATCCTCCATAGGCCAGAGGGTGCTCTCGTGCAGAAACAGGCACAAAGCAGTAATCCAGTAAATACGAATAGCATTGCAATATAAAAGCAAAGATTTTACCGCATTCATTGATTCAGCATGACTACTAATCTCATGGCTATGAAATCATCCTGCAGAAAAATTTATTTCAAACATTAGACTGAAGTTATGAAACAGGTTTGGAGTGAAAACCTAAAGCACGTTTTTATGTCACATTTTCTCATGCAGCCTTAATTCATTTCATCAATGTAATTTTGACAGAATGATCATCTCAATCTCACTATAATCAGATTAAACATGATTTTGCATAGCTTGTCAGTGAACTATGACTTTTTGTAGTAAATGCTGCTCCATCTGAGAGCACGTGCTGGAGATTTACTAGAACCAGCTGTACTAACAAAATGCACTTGGAAATCACATTCGAATAGTCACCCAGCTTTACATTAAAAAAAAGAAAAGAGCTGCTCAATTTGGTTGTCAAAATCTAAAAACAGTAGAGCTGCACGATTCTGGCTAAAATGAGAATCGCGATTTTTTTGTGCCTAAAATAAAGATCCTGATTTTCTCACGATTCTGTTGATGTAAAATAAAGGTTAATATGAGTGGGCTATTATTGTTGTTATTCTCAAACATGTGGTAAAACAGCAATAGGCTTTGTGTAGCTGTACTGTTAAAATACTAAATTTTGTATAGACTTGGAATGGTGGACTTGAACAGACTTTAGATTTGTCCTGGTCATTAATGCTGATGATAATTCTGATGTTGAATTATTGTGTTTGAGACATGCTTACAATCTGTCATTTTCTGCTTAAAATCTGTCACTGACGTGATTTTCGTGAATACAGAAGACTGGGATGGTATTTTTGCTTTTCGTCGGTTTTTGGATACTTTTTGAGCTGGAATCAGTCAGCTACAACAGTCTGGCAATACTGTGTGTGCTTTCAGTTTCATTTTCACTGCTAAGAGCAGTTCACTTCCCGCGCGGCTCCCAAATGATCACTCTGTCACAAACTGAATGTTATTTACAACTTTATTAGCTGTTATTCACAGTCTATGCAGGTTCTGTTCACTAAAGTAGACTTCATTCAGAGGCGAGCCCGCGCCCGCTCTCTCTGTGGTAACAGCTGACGCATCATTACATGAAGACAGTAATTACATTTTTAGGGTGAATAATATCTTGCATGTGACTCTTTCAACACCATTTGGAGGCGTCCACGTTGCTGAACAACGTTTGTAAAACAATGTGAAGACATGTGTGGCTACCATTGCTTCTCTCCAGAACTTGAAAATATGATTGACAGAATCGTAGAAATGCTGGATTAAAATCATCTAGTGGGTCGAATCGAGATTGTGATCTTTTTACGATTAATTGTGCAGCTCTAAAAAAACAGTATTAACAATTTGATAATTGTGCTAAATCAAATAGGATTTTGGGGCACTTTTAGACTGTATTAAAACAATTGACCAGTCAATGAATTATACTGGTATATAAAACTCGCTAATGCAGAAATCTATTCAAATTTAGCACATTAAGGGGCCAATCACACAGAACATGCTTTTTGCGTTGAGAGGCACATTCTTTGAATGGTTTACTTATGGCTATGAGTGTTTTGCGCGTCGCTTATGTGCCCTGCACGCCTTACATTTTAACCGCCTGCTGTGTTTCGCATTTTTTTGCTGTTGTGTGCTGTGTGCTCGCAGTTGAAAAAAAGTCAACAGCTATGTCACTTGCGTCTTTTTTATTTTCCAATCAGCAGAGGCGGGGTTTCCATTGATATGCCTGCAGTGTTTGTGTTGTCAAGACGACTACAGAGACTTTTGAAGATGGAGGAGAGACTAGCGGTTGCTCTTTTGAGTTATCCAGAGCTGTATGACTTCACACATCTTAAATATCACAATATTATTAAATATTATAAGTATAACAATATCAACAGCAACACTCCTGCACAATACACAGCTGATTCAGACATTGCCTGGCGAAAAAAAAAAAGCGTGTATTTTCAGAACGGAAAATCAACTAAAATTCTTGATCATTAACAAGCCAAAAATATAAATGTATTTTTGATGAGTGAAAAACAAAGCTTAGGCTTCCTAACCTCAACAGGGCCAATGGAGTTGAGCAGGTTCAGGAGCTGTTTATTGGTTGTGGTGGTTGATAAACCCTCAATGCAGACAGTGCTGGGCTGATGATCTTGAGCTCTCGGGTTCTGTTGCGTCAGCAAGCGATTCGTTCCACGGCCACGTCCTCTTCCTCGAACTACCAACTGTGGAGATCGATAAAGATGCAGAGAACTATTTATTAACAACTACTATGATACAATTAACAAAAACAAGTAAGAGGACACATCATAGAGCTAGCCACTGCTTTTATGTAATGTGGGAACAAGAGATGATTATTAGATTGCGTAATCTTTGTTGTTTAATTCATTATCATATCCTTTAACCATTTTTATTCTACAACTCTACAGCAGTTCAGCAGATCGAACACAATTCAGTAACTGCTCCTAAAAACGAACATATTCCTCAATAATTCATAAACATAATGGTGTTAATTTTAATATTTTCAGAGGCACTGTTAAACATCAATAGTTTAACCACACTATTTGTAAATGGTTTCAATAAGGTAAAGTCTGTGAATGTAATTTCTGCAGTGTTCTTGGTTTATTTTACCGCTAAAATATTAGAAAAATACTTTACTTCCCAAAGTTTCGTGTTCACCATTATTTGTGATTCAGGTAAAAAAAAAAAAAAAAAAACATGCATAAATGTGGCCAATAAGCCAGCTGCAACATCAAGGTGAAGTGCTTTTTGTCTGAGATAGGAGAAGCAGTCCTGCAATCTCTTCAGCACTTTACTGATTAAGCCTCTGAAGCGACTGGAGGGAAGAGACTTCAGAAAGAGGCCATCATTAAGTCACGCCTGGAGTTTGCTAGAGGCCATGTGACAAAACCTGCTGAATGAAAATGTTGTGGTCTGTTGAGACTGAAGCTGAGCTCTTTGGCCTTGAAAGCAAAGCTTTACGCTGGGCACAAACCAAAGACAGATAACACTAACATTACAGTCAAGCACACACATTGCTTCAGTATAAGAAAAGCCTTTCATTTTGTAAGGCAATAAAGACTTTTTTTAAAGGCATTCAAGTTTCACCTTGTAAAACCGATTTTTTCCTTTTTACACAAAAAAACGTTTAGAATTACAATTTATTCCTGTGATGGCAAAGCTTCAGTTTTCAGTCTGACTGTTTCATTGTTATCATTCAGCAATCATTGAAGTATGCTCTTTTATTTTATTGTTATCAATTTATTCAAAATCAGTACATTAAAATAACACGCACGTAATACTCTGAAGCTGTAAACACTGTTCATTAGGGCTGCATGATATTGGAGAAATCTGATACTGTGATTTTTTTTTTCTGCGATAAACATTGGGATAAGAATTGATAAATATTGGGATATGAATACAGTTTCACAAGATCGTTTTGAATAGCACAATTTGATGCTAACAGTCTTCAAGTACAGAATTGATTAATCACACTGCAAAAAATGCTTTTCTTACCTTGCTTAGTCTTATTTTTAGCTCAAATATCAAACATTTCTTAGATCTAGTATATATATTGTTTTGTTTTTAACTTTAGAAGAAATACGCCAAAGTTAAGAGTTTTTAGAATAGAATGCCTATTACAGTCACTGTACACGTCTACTATGTACATTATATACAAGTGCGATGAGATTAAGTGCTCACTCTTCAGTGCAAACATTTACAGTAGAAATAACTGTAGAAGATAAACAGTAGTGCAAAATGGGGGGGGGGGGGGGGGGGGGGGATTTAGGGTGAGGTGGAGTAAACAGTCCTGTGGTAGAACGTGAACTACTTAAAAGGTATAGTATGTAAATGTAAGATGATAAATAAATAGTGGTGCAAAATAAAGGATGAAAGGGGGGTAGGGTGAGGTGGAGTAAACAATTCTGAGGTAGAATGGGAGACGTATACGATATGTAAATGTAAGATGACAAAAAGTAGAGCGAAAACAGTTCTGAGGCTGAACGAGAGATTTATACAAGATGTATATAATTAGATGTGTATTGCATAAAGTCTGCTCCATGTGTGTGCATGTATAGTGTCTGTGCGAGTGAGTTGAGGATGGTAAAATTTGGAAGGAGGTGTAAAAATGTTTTCTTTAAAACAAGTAAAAGTATCTGCCTGTAGGGGAAGTAAAAAAAAATCTTATTTTCACTATAAAATGTAGATATTTGGACTAGAAACAAGACAAAAATTCTGAGTAAGAAAAACTTTTTTGTTGTTGTTGCATAAATCGTATGAATTCCATAGTGATTAAATTTAATTCTGTAGCTCTTGGTCAACTTTAATTCCGAGTCAACATTGCCTATCTTGCAATGTGATTATTGTAAACGTGCACTTTGTGAAATCAATGATATATTGTGCAGCCCTACTGTTTATTGATCAATGTTTATTTGTAAATAAGATTAAATGTGTTCATCTAGGGCTGGGCGATAAATCAATTTTCTTTTAAGCTCATGCATTGCTCCCCTCTAAGTTACAGTAGTTTCTCAGCATATTTGCGCTAGAAACAAACAAACAACATGGCACCGAGCAGAGAAGAACTAAAATTAAAAAGCACATTGCCACAACAAACACATAAGCGATACACCCGCCATGACACACACGCATTCACAATGAGACACATGCATTTGAACGTGCCCATGCCACAAATTGTCTTTCTCATTGAAGTTATGGATATTTCTCACTAAGAATTGATGGATAAGACAATTATTGGACAAGATGAGCATATGAAAGGAACTTTTACCGATCTAATGTTGGAATTCAACGTTGCTGTTTCTGGATGAATTACTTGACCTAGCCGTAGAGATGTTAGTTCATTACTCGGTATTGTGAACATCGACACTGTGACAAAACACAAATGTTACAACAGCCCTATTTTTATCATATAAAACAATTGCATCCCAGGGCTGCAATTTAAGGATCTATTTAAGGATCTATCAAAAAAATCTGATATTTTTAAATATTTAAAAAATATTTCGTTTTTTTGTAACAAATATTGCAATATACTGTATTTACAATGTCACTAGATTACTTGAAAATTGCTATTTGGTCAGGATTTATTAAATAAAAGATTTATTATTAATTAGTTAATTATGCATAAAAATGTAAAAAAATGTTACTCTTTCAGGCATTAAAAACCTGCGCAAATGATAAACTTTCACTCCATTACAGTTAAACTCTGCTATACCATCACAATTGTCATGTGTTCTGACATGTTTCTCCTGGTCACCTAATTCATAAAAATTGGTATTATTTATGTAATCTCTACGAAAACTGACGAGTCATAGTATTGGATTTCTTTAAAAAATATCTTCATTTGTGTTTCGGGGGTGAACAAAAATTTTGAAAAGTTACAAAGATGAGTAACTGATGCCAGTGTGTTTTCATGGCAGGGAATATAAAACATTTACTTATTAAAAAATGTATTATGTGCTGGTATTTTAAGCTGCTGGTGTATAATAAAATGTAAAATAAAATGCATAATCAATGTATTTAAATTACATGTCAATGCACAGGCATGCCATCCATCTTTACGAACAGACGCGTGCCATCAAATGGCCCAGGTTGGCTTTTGACCCAACTAAATGCAGCAGCCATCCACGCTGGAGGATTCCTAGTGCTATAAGCCAGTTGCTCCCTCACCACTTACTGAACATACAATTCACTTTTGCTCCAAGCGAAACCCTGGGTCCGTTGTCAGTGAGTGATTTACAAGGCCACGGTTATATCAGTAAACAGCAGCGAGTGTTTGGAATATCTGACTCAACATGAGCGCTCAGGCAGATGTGCAGGAAGGCGCTCTGCTGTGACTGACTGACACACGTTAGCACTGTATTTGTCCCCTGAGAACGGACGACTGTACAGAGACGGCAGCGCGCGGAAAAGGCCAAGGGATCTTCATCTCTCCTGCTTCAGCCTGTCAATATCATCGCACCTGGCACTCTGTTCCATATCATTACTGCTCCCGCTCTCTTCCAAAACAGCTACTGGTCCCCTGGGAAAAGCGGTGACACAGCTGAGCCATAGCAGAAACCAAACCTGCCGTCTTTACTAGTGCTGAAGCGCCGAGGAGAGAGCCACTTACAGCAGCTCTTCATGACAGCCACAAAGAGCCAATGATAACTTCAACAAACGGCCCGAGTGTATTGTATATTCTGGACAGCACTACACAAGATTAGAAGAAATAAACAACAGTGCAGATAAAATAAATGAATAAATATGATAACCATATCTGCGTTTAAGTGATTTTCAGTCAATATTATGGGCTATTTCAGGCCTTTTTTCACTTTCCGACAATGGCAGGAAGGTTTTCAGTGCAAATTCAACAAAATGAAGATCCTGTAAATGTAAAAGATGTCTTGTGTTTACACAACCGCTCAAAACTCTACAGAGAGCAGTGTTTCCCACAGGTTTGAAATATACTTGTGGTGGTAGCTGGATTGAAACATACCTTTTACCCACATCACATAAATGGTAAACTATAAGTGACAAAAAAAAACAATTTGATTTTTAACTCTTTTTATTATCTCTTTTTAACTTTTTCTTTTCAATGGGTTAAAGTAAAAAAAAAAAAAAGACTGTTGAAATAAATATAAAAACTCCACTCTTTCTCTTTTGTGCTATTTAGGAGCCATGTGCACCCACTGACAGGTCAAATCTGCTCAAATCCCTCTCTCTCTCATTCAAGTTTCGATTGCTTTATTGGCATCACATTTTGTACAGTACTGCCAAAGCATTTCAGATGTATAAAATAAGTGATATATCGACAACAAATGATAAAATATCCAGCAAAAGAGACATAAATTACAAAAAAGGAATAAAAATCTCTAAAAGTTATAATACTTACAAAAATGTAGATTATTTAAAGGTTCAGGACACCCCGGAGAACTTTTTTTTATATTAACAGATGTGTGTGTGTTGAGCATCAGTTAAGACAATGTTAGCACCTGTCAGCTTTAATTGTGGGAAAAACTGGATAATTTTGTGATTTTGTCAGCTAATTTCAGCTTCCGGGTTTAAAATGATTTTTGGGGCGGGATCAAAATTGGCGACGTAGCGCAGAACTGCAAGTGCAATGATGACACGTCGGTTTCTCATTATTATTCATAGCGGAGTTTTCTTATCCTTTGAGAAGAGTCGGCTGCTTAATTATTCATGAGACCTGCCAGTGTCAAGCCCGAGCTGAGAGACACGGAAACCACGGCACAGTATTTAGCCTTTCATGAAGGCTCATATGCGTTTGTTTCCATCATCCACGGGGTTTGTTGCATGTTTTCCCCCGCAATCTTGTCAGGGCCGATCATACAGCAAAGCTGTGTGTGTGATGCAAGCATTTTTGTCGGGAGAGCAGCACGAGAATTAGAGAAAAGCGGACGCTGTCTTTTATCAGGAGTTCGTTCACATTCAGACACATCACTGTGCTGCTGTGTTTGCCTAAATCCTCCAGATTACCAGCAGGGTTAATGGTTAAAATAGACGGGTCAGGAGACCTGCTGCACTGAGTCTGCTGGATACAGGGATTGAGGGAGAAGTCCTCATTTATAGTGTTTACATAAACACACTTATCTTTATAATGATATAAATTGTGGTTGTCTGTATATGAAATTAAGAATAACAAATGTAGCAGGGCATTAAATCACTGTTCATTTCTTTGCATTTTAACTTTGTAAACTATTAACTCATGCGTCTCCTCTTTGTGTCTCATTTTGTGAGCTAACTGACAACAGTAGTTATTCGCTCCCCTTCTCCCCTGCTGGCCACGCCCACTCCTGCCCGATGCTTGCGGAGCTCCACGCCCATTAATCATGCATCTTTTGAAAAAATTCTGAAGTAGACTTTAACCAAAAGAGGGGGGTGTCATGGCCCTTTAAATAATAGAAATGAGTTGGGCAGCACGATGGCGCAGTGGTTAGCACTGTTGCTTAACAGCTAGAAGGTCGCTGGTTCAAGCCTCGACTGGGTCAGTTAAGCCTGATTTATACTTCTGCGTCAGATGACCGGCGTAACCCACGGCGCATGCAACGCGCGTGGCTGTGCATTTATACTTCTGCGCGCTGTCTCTGTCGGTCTGCATTAACATTTCCGAAACGCTAGTTGGCAGTAAGGTGTAACTGTTCCTCTGTGTCGAGTTTCTTCGGTGCTTTTTAGCTTTTCCTGAACACTTCCTGGATGTACAAGTGGCTCAAACTCGCTCATTTTGAGGCAGGAACCGGCGGACGTGCAACAACTTTAACTATGAGGTAAACACAAAACAAAACTTTCCATCCGGAGCTCCTTCACGGGACTCCACACTTGTAAACAATCGCTCGCGCCATTCGCGCGGCTCTTGGTCCCGCCCAGACTCATCAGCACTACCAAGCTGACCAATCACAGAGCTTACACTACACGCCGTTGCGACGTGTAGTTACATTTTTTAAGAGGTGCACGTCAGTGACGGCGACGGCCACGGCGAAGGGCTATGTGTCAGCGCCGTAGCAAACGCCGGCGTTTGACGGAGAAGTATAAATCAGCCTTTAGCATTTCTGTGTGGCGTTTGCAAGTTCTCCCCACGTTGGCGTGGATTTCCTCTGGGTGCTCTAGTTTTCCCCACAAGTCCAGAGACAAGCGGTACAGGTGAATTGGGTAAGCTAAATTGTCTGTAGTGTATGTGTAAGAATGAGAGTGTATGGATGTTTTTCACTGATGGGTTGCAGCTGAAAGGGCATCAGCAGCGTAAAACATATGCTGGATAAGTTGGCAATTCATTCTGCTGATTAATGAACGGACAAAGCCGAAAAGAAATTACCCATTTCTAATGGTGTACAAATAATCTGCAGCCAATTTAGATGTAATTTATTTAGCAAAGTTTAGTAAAGTCGTTTAGATTCAAGATTTATTTAATGTCTCTCTGGCTATTGTAACTGTGCGCATAAAATTAACTACAGCTTAGAAAACGAAGGTAAAATCATATCCCAAACATTTTAGCAGATTTAGAAACCTCAGCCGGACGCAAAAAGGTGTGGGTCTCTGTGGGTCTGCAGAGCACACGAGTTCTCACACACACAGAATGAGCATTAAGAAACGGGTAAAAGAGAGATTTTCCACTACTTAATTGCTTGCAGAATGCAGATGTTGGTTTACATTGAGCGGATAAAAAAAAAAGTGTAAAAGGATGATAATAATAGTTGAAAAAAATGTGCCGCAAAATATGCTTGGGCGGTCGTTAATATACCCGAGCGGTCTGCCCAAGTAAAGTCTGTGTGGGAAGCACCAGAGAGTAAGACATTTTATAACATAGGAAGAGTAGGAATAGGAAAATAGGACTACCATTTCGATACAAAAATATAGAAGGTGTTTAAATCCACAAATCACCAACATTCATCATGGTTCTACTATAGAAACACTAATGGTAACTTATAATATTGCGGATTAAGGTAGCAGTGTAAATATTTATAACAGTATTTTTGTTAAGTTAGATTTGACGTTTTGGTGAGGTGCCATAATTGTGGCTATCATAGTCTATGACTAAATAAGGAAAGGCTGTTGCAATTTCTACAGATAGTACTATTTTTGCTAAAGAAACATGTAATTTGCATTCCAACTCAAGCTACTATATGACTGTATTAGTGTATTTATTTACTAAAAGAAAATTTATGAGACTGTTCTATCAAATTAGGTGCTGGTGCCTCCATCTGTAGAAACCTAGTGGCACTGATGCCAGTGCTCTCAAAGTTTTTTCAGAAGCTTTGCAGATAAGAAGGAAATTTGACCCAAGCCCCCATGAACCTGTTAAATGGCTTTCTGGCAAGTGTTGTCCTTTTCAAAAACAGTAAAAAATGGCTAGCAAAAATTCACAATTATAACTTATGATTGTATAATCTGATGATAATCAGATTTAGTAACGATGCTTAAATTTAAACTTATAAAAATGCCAAGCATCAAATATACTGATTTGGACATAACCTGAAAGCACCATTAGTACCAGAGCTTAGTGTCATCTCTTCAAAATGGCATTGTGCACCTGTCCAATTAAGGGCTTGTGAGAGTAATCCTGATTCAATGTCATACCCGGTTCGTTTGGTTTGTCACGCCACGGCCAGCCTGTTGTTGATTTTGTACACCACCAGTTGCCATGGTAACTTTCCTGATGGGACCAAGCCTCTGTTGGGGGATAGGCCGACCAATTGGTGGTTGCTGTTGCTGTGAGGGAGCAGTGCTGGGACTGGCATCTGCCTGCTGAACACAGAGAAGACACATCTTACAAACCACACAAAGAAAATCCCAGATTAACAAACATCAGACCATCAGTCTGAACTGGACAGAACTGGCAAAATATGAGATACTGAAGTTGAGCATTCTTTTTTTCCTAAAGAATTGTGCCTATTTTTATTATTTTTTTTTAATGTACAGAATGTTATGAGCATACTTTAATAAACAGGAAAAACACAGTTTTTGATCCCATTTTACATTAAGTAGCCTTAATTACAATGTACTGATATTTAAATTAATCATTTAGTACAACACATTAAAGTACATACATGTTTTTACATTGTACTAATATTTTAAAAACAATATGCTTAAAATTAAATCTGAAATAAATTTCTGTTTTTACATTTAGAAATATACTGTTTACCCACACCTTACCTTTAAAAAAACCTACCCATACTTCAGACCTATCCCTAACCTTACCCATATCCTACCTCAAGAAAAGTTCTGGTGCTTTTCAATACTATATGAACACAATAAGTACATAGTAATAAAGGCCACAATATAAAGTGGGACCGATTGTCTGATACAATTTAAATAATTCACGCTGAAAACAATCAGACTTTAAAACACTATGAATGAATGAAAACATCTGCAGATGTTCTGTTTCTTATTTGCTGTTGTCATTTTCCATTTGTCTCTACTCCTGCCATTAGTATTTATTTATTCTGAGGCTCTAGGTCCACCTTTGGGCTTGGTCTAGCCAATAGTACAACAGCACCTCCTAGGGAGCTAGGTAAAAAGATACGCGCATAAAATGAACAAAAGTGAATAAAAAGTAAGGACCATTTGATTGGTCAAATTGTGCAAAACAAACTCTCTGTGAAATAAATATTGCATTTACTATTATCACCATAACAATATTTTTTCAATAAATTCTGCAGCCCAACAGAAATGCAGAACAACAGACAACACTACTCCAAGAGGTGATGTGATCTGATTTCAGGATGCTAATTACAGGATAAAATATAGCTGAGTTTATTAAACATCTTCCAGAAAACTGGTGACCGCACCTCTGAGTATAAATGTCATGGACTGGGGATAAAGAGAACTGTTTCCTCAGCTTTCAAAGTGTTTGTGTTATCTGACAGCGGCTGGCAGTCTTCAGATGTTGAAGGCCTTGAAAATTTAAACGCTCTCATCATCGTTTAATGGTGCACTCACACTATGCTATTTGAACCATGCCCAGACAAGTGTGAGTGCTTCAAATCAGGCACAGTGCGGTTCAGTTGGCTGGCCCTGACCAGGTTGGAAGAGGTGTGCCAGAGTGCAGTTGGGCTGCGGTGCGGTACGCTTGTAGTGTGAGTGCAAAGCATGCCTGAGCCCGAAACTGAAGACAAGACTTGACTTTTAGGAGACTAAAATTGATAATTCATATGGATTTATTAATCATTCTTACTTTTCAATGAACACGAACTGTCATAGTTTATTAAAGACACTAACCCCTCGCCACACATCAGCTCCACCTTCATCAAACCTTCTAATATGTCCAGCATGAGGACTTTGTGAACATGTACGCCAAAGGTGGTGGATCTATTCAGCAAAATATTTGAAAGAGTCACTGCATCCCAAATGACTAAAAATAGTACAAAACAATATAACTAAAGCAATCTCCACTGTGCTGAGCAAGAGCAATTCTCTTACTGTTAAACTGAACAGTGCATCAACTATGACGCAAGCATGCTCAGATTTGAAAGGTAAAGATCTAGTGTGAGTGCAGGCTGTCACTTGGGAGAGGGACAATCGTGCTTCGGCACGGTTCAAGCCAACTGCAGCTAGTGTGAGTACCCCCCCCCCAAAGGTTCCAATCACCTCAATACTTTCTTGTGACCACAGATAACACATCATCTCAAGAGCTTTTTTTATATATATTTAATGAATGATTTTGTTCTTCTCAAATTTGTCATTGGTGAGAACTAAATACCTACCCAGGCCCGTTCCCCAGATCGTTTGAGAGGTGTGAGTGCTTTAAATCGCGCTGAGGCGCAGTTCACTTGGCCGGCCCTGGCCCGGTTGGAAGAGGTGTGCCAGAGCGCTGTTCACTTGAGCTTTGGTGTGGTACGCTTGTAGTGTGAGTGCAAAGCACGCCTGAGCCCGAAATTGAAGACGAGAATTGACTCTTAAAGGACTGTTTTATATGCGTTTATTAATCATTCTTGCTGTTCAGTGAACGCAAACTGTCGTAGATTATTGAAGAGGCAAGCTTGTTTATGAGCACCAAAAGTGGCTGATCTGTTTAGCGAAATATTTGAAAGCGTGTCACTGCATATCAAACGACTTAAACGATATAACTAATCTCCACTGTGCTGAGCGAAAGCACTTACTGAACAGCGCATCATCGATGATGTAAGCGTGCTCAGGCCCAAATGTAATATGAGTGCGGGCCGTGGGGGGAAACGGGAGTGGGGACAAGCATACTTCGGCCCACATCAAGGCAACTGTACATAGTGTGACTACGCCCTAATTCTGTATCTCAGAAAATTAGTGATCATTGACAATCTGTTGACAATGTTGAATATTATGTTAAATAAATAGGTTTCATGAACATGACAATGACCCTGAAAAAGAAAATAGAGATCTCAGTAAATTATTTGCACTGACTGATAAACAAACAATTGCTCAGCACGATTCAAAAATCACTTCTTTTTGGTCAAATACACAAAAATATATCAAATTTTAGTTTATGTCATGTCTTGAGTAAATGTAAGAAGTTCAGCGACAAATCTTATGATTATTAAATTGTATCCATGCATTATGGCTTAATATGACAAACCTGCTCCAGTCTGTCATTGATGATAATCTAAAAAGAAGGGTTCATTTATTAAAAGTGCAGTAGGAGATTGTCTATAGGCATGGGCCGGTATAAGATTCTGACGGCATGATAACCTTGAATAAAAATATCACGGTTTCACGGTATCACAGTATTGTGGTTACTGCTCTAAAATATATTCTTTTTAAATGTCGTTAAAAACGTTTTTCCAAATTGAAAATAATATATTTAATTTTTTGAAAGATTTATAATACTTTGGAACAGTAAACATGTCAGGCTAAATAATTCAAATGAATAATTGGCTTCTTTTGTCTTTATTTGTTTCAAAAGCAATGATTTCATTACAAGTTAAACCGGCATCTTTGATATTTTATGCTGAAGATACTGTTGTCCTAAAAAACTAAAAGAAAAATCTTACACATACCTTAGAAACGTTATTACAGGAAATGGTGGTTTTAAAACCTTGACTTTTCCAAACTGCGGTAAACCTGTAGTAAAATTGTCGTCCCATGCCTAGTCTTCAGAAACATTTTTTGTTGTGTTGGTAGAAATTCTCTTCACATTCCAATAGTACAGATTAAAGTAAATTGTCTTAATGTATTCATACGTATTTTTCTATTCTGGGTAAGGCATTAAACAAAAAAATTTTAATCCAATAAAACATGTGTTAGGGCAATAATTGCCATAATTCTGATAGGTAGCCCAAACTGTCTGTCAACAAATGTAGATTTGTACATTTGCACAGCCCTTCAGGCAAACAGATCTGTCGTTTACACGTGCACATGCACATGCAAGAGTGACAGTGGTGAAAACAAATGCTCAACCAAAACTTACTAAAATCTTAAATCAATTTTGGAGTTAGTTTTGTATACTGGATGAAGAATGACACCATGGCTGAAGTATTTCTGCTAGACAGGTAATGTTCTATTATAAAACTATTGTAGTCATGTAAAGCTGATGTAGATTGCATTATGCTATGAATGGGTTATATGCACAGACGTGTTGTTCAGCCACTGAAATTTTCAGCCGAAAGATTGATGTGACTATTTTCAGTTTCATAAGGGACCTTTTACAGCATCGATAATGTAGATTTTTTTTTAGTTTAACAATAAAACATAAGTCATTAATGCCATTCCACCTAGTCAGCTTTACAGAGGTAAAGTTGAAGTTGGTGAAGTTGGTTTTATATTCACATTGATTCATTTTTGAACTATGACAACCTGTGACATGCTCCCTATATTGTTCAACATAGTAATTTGAATATTCAGTCTAAAATAGCATGTAAGTATGGCTTAGTAATAAGTGTAATTCCTGCATGCCACCAGCCAACCACTAAGTATAGTCGCTTTAGGACAATGTGTGAGAGAGTGAGACTAGCGATCCTTGCATACATGAAATATTGCACATACAACTAAAAACATGCTAGATATAATACAGTTTTTCATTCAGAATTGAAATATTATAAAGTACTATAAAGATTTCTAACTAGCGAATGTCATGAACTAGTGGGTTTGTTTTCTATCGTCTTTATGGTGCGTGTTCATGATTTCAGGAGGACTGCAGGGGAGGGACTGTGTTTTCAAAGCTATTATGCTAACGGTTAGCTTTTTGGCAAATAACCTAATGCACCGTTAACATTGACTGAACTGCTATAGCTAGTGCTCAAAATCATATTCAAATATCAAAATTTCTTAATGATTTCTTGAATGCCTTGTATGTTATTTTGGTTGTACTCTTTTAACCGTATCATTGTTAAAATATAAAAAGAAAAACATGAAGAACATTCGACTTATACCGTCTACCACAGAGAGAATCAAACATCAGCATATAGTCCTCATCCGACAGCAAACCTGAATATATTCAACACAATCCCTATAAACATTCCTTCAGTCTACAACAAAGACATAATTGCCAAAGCAGCTAAGCTCATCCTTTTCCCCTCATCTGTCTTTTTCTAAACCGTGTGCATTATCTCTATTCTGTCTGTCTCCATCTGAGGGGGTTAATGGATTAATCCAACTCAATACAAAATCCACACCTTCAGATTACATCTATCAGATGCTCCGCAGCAATACACCGGGGCGGGGTGACGACATTTGACAAGTCCCTCCCCCTCCCCCACCCAGCCCGTCACCTCCATCCCCCATGCTGCTTTTGTACGGTGCAGGCTTTTGTATTCTTGCTGATGAAAATTTAATTTGCTCTTATCAGTGCGGCTAAGCTGGAAGAAATACAAATCCGCCCAAACCGGCATCTCTCTTTCTCCCGGACTCTCGCAGGTATTATTACACCCATATCAACATAGACGAGAAAGATTAATTGCAGATGTCCCCGGACTGACACCTATTCTAACACACTTCAATGATGAGCTGATGGATGGATAAAGCGAGAGGCGAGACGAGATAGATGAAGAGAGTAACATGGAGCGAGCACAAGTTAGAAGGGAGAACAAGAAAGAGAGATAACATTGTCAGGCGGCTGAGGTTGACAGCAGGAGAAGAGAAGCACCTAGAGGATCAGCTTCTTTCGGTCTGACAGACCCTCCCCCTTCTTCCTCTTTGTCAGTCAGAGCCACGGCACTTCAGATAGCTGCGTGTAGCTTTCTATTAACTAAGTTGACACACAGTTATCTTCATTCACAGAGATCTGGCAGTCAAAGGAGATATTTAGCTTCGCTTCAGGCAGAAGACTGGAAAAGGATGTTTTCTCCTCATTCAACGAACAAATCATCTCTTAGAGGCCATAAATCATCCTTGGGTCCTCCTTTCCTTGGTTGAGATGCATAAAATGCCCTGTCAGAACGACCTCAAACTCTAGACTTAAATGTAAAATGATTGGCGAAACCGATAGAAACCTCCATTTGGTCTTGCTTAACTTGCCTCGTAAAATTGCTGCTCGACTTGAAGAAGATACAAACCTTTACAATGTCTGGATCTGCTATCACTCAGAGTAAAGACGCAAATGCCAAGCATCTCACTTTAATGACAGCAGGATGGTGCCATTTATGGCCACAAAAGGTAAAAGTGTTCTGTCAATTAAATCCCAGTATGAAGACTACCATCGCTATCGATTCTTTCAAAAAGAGAAATTTGCTACATACCTTAAAACAGTTTTGAGCTCTAAAAACTTTACTGGTCGAAAAAGTAGACGTCATGACTTTTACAGTAATTGGAAATCCTCTTGTCTTTGAGGTAGACTCTTTTATTAATTCTATCAAGGTGACAACTACTTCAAGAAAACCGGCAAAGACAAAAAGAGTCAAAATATTCTGTGGCACATGAACTTTAAAGATCACATCTAGAGTTTAAATAGGTTACAAATTCACTCACCTCTCCCTGAAGCTTAACTACACGCACTTTCTGTGGAACTTGTGGTGATTCAACACTGTTGGTTCTTTGCATCACTGTTCTTTTTCCACCGGGCTGAGGCTGACCCAGGCCATGCCCTTCTACTGGCTTGGTTTGAGCACCAACACCCTGTGCAGCCGGTCGTTGAGTGTTTTGTGGGGCGATGGTCCTCTTCTGCAATGGTTGATATTGGCCCTGCAGGTTGGCATTAGGACCAGTACTCTGTGGCTTCTGTGGCCCAGACCACCCTGAAGCAGGTGCCTGAGGTTTAGTGTTCAACAGACGTGTCTTAACATTGGGACGAGGGGAATTGACGATGGGCGAAGGGTTCTGTGGGGTTCCGTTAGAGATCAGGGAAGGGACCGGCTGAGGGGGTTGAGCTGTAGGGGGCTGTGTGGTGTTCTGTGTTGGTTGAGTCTGGTTTGGAAGTTGGCCGCCAATTCGTTCCAACAGTTCCTTTTTGCGCTCACCAGCTTGCTGCTGCCTGCGCAGCTCTTTGCGTCGAAGGACCTCTTCTCGCAAACGTTTCTGTTCTTCGATCTTTAGTCTGTATTGCCGTGTCTCCTCATCTTCATCTGGGTTCTAAACAAGGACGAATTTAAATTCTGGATGAATAAAAGAAGACTTCTTTTGGCTTTATGCAAAAACATTTCAGTCTAGTGAGCATATGCACGAGACCAAGGTTGCTTGTGGTTACTTACACATTCTAGACAAAGTCTAGCTGCAATTGCATTATCTACATATCCAGTTTAAGTCAGAATTATTAGCCCCTTTTTGAATTTTTTTTTCTTTTTAAATTTTCCCAGATGATGTTTAACTGAGCAATGAAATTTTCACAGTATGACTGATAATATTTTTTCTTTTGGAGAAAGTCTTATTTGTTCTATTTTGGCTAGAACAAAAGCAGTTTTTATTTATTTATTTTTTTTACAAACATTTAAAGTCAAAATCATAATATCCTTTAAACTATATATTTTTTCCATAGTCTACAGAACAAACCATCGATATACAATAACTTACCCAATTACTCTAACCTGCCTAGTTAACCTAATTAACCTAGTTAAGACTTTAAATGTCACTTTAAGCTGTATAGAAGTGCCCTAAAAATATCTAGTTAAATATTATTTACCATCATCATGGCAAAGATAAAATAAATCAGTCATTAGAAATGAGTTATTAAAACTAGTACGTTCAGAAATGAAAATAATCTTGTCTCTGTTAAACAGAAATTTGGGGAAAAAAATAAACAGGGGGGGATAATAATTCAGGGGGGTTAATAATTCTGACTTCAATTGTACATAGATATACAACTGTAATATTTGGTTTGTTTGTTTTTTGGACCAGTGTTACCTAGGCCTGCCCCAATAGTCGACTAAACTTGTAAAAGAGAAGATGCTTGGTCAACCCAAATGTTTCAGACACAGATTTTTTTTTTTTTACACTGGATATAGCAAAGTAAATCAAGTTGGCCATGGTTGACAGATTGCTAATTGCTGGTAACAGTACATGGGGCATGACATGAAAAAGCCAATCATTGACCACAAAACAGCAACTTTACATGCTCACTCAACCTATTGTTAAACTAAAAATTGTGTGCCATATGTTCAGTGCATGACAAATGGATGTGACCTGTGCAATAACTTGCTCTTATACACTAAATTTATTTCAACAAAAAACACTGCACTTTTGTAAAATGAAAGGGGTTTCACATGAAGCGATTGTGAAAGTGACATACTTTGATGATCATCTGTCTGTGGGTGCATTGTAAATTGACCTGACAACCCAACTATGCAATAGTTAAGAAATAATATTTGGTGGACATATACAGTTGAAGTCAGAATTATTAGACCCTTTTTTCATTTTTTTTCTTTTGTAAATATTTCCTAAATGATGCTTAGCAGAGAATGGAAATTTTCATAGTATGTCTGATAATATTTTTTCTTCTGTTTCATTTTGGCTAGAATAAAAGCAATTTTTTTTTAATATTCAATTTAAGGTCTAAATTATTAGCCCCATTTAACTATATATTTTTTTCTCGATAGCCTACAGAACAAACCATCGTCATATATAACTTGCCTAATTACCCTAACCTGCCTAGTTAACCTAATTAACAGAGTTAAGCCTTTAATTGTCACTTTAAGTTGTATAGAAGTGTATTGAAAAATATCTAGCAATATATTTACTGAATTTACTGTCATCATGACAATGATAAAATAAATCAATTATTAGAAATGAGTTATTAAAACTATTATGTTTAGAAATGTGTAAGAAATTGGGCAAAAAATAAACAAGGGGGCTAATAATTCAGGGGGACTAATAATTCTGACTTCAACTGAATGTATACAGAGAGAGTTAAATCACTGAATAAAACATATATATACTTTTGTGCAAATGAGCTTATTATAATTAGGTAACAGTGTCTGTGTGAGGAACTAATTTCTTCCACTACAAATTAACATCTGAAGTTCACTGTAACAGCTGGGCAAAAGCCATCGCCAAAATAAAAACTTCACTTCAGAACACGTATTTAAATTCCTTAATTCTGCATATAGGTGAGTATCATGATGCCTTAGACATGAACAAACAGAGGATCGTGCTCAAAGCTGAAAATTAAAAAGCAGAACAGAATAAATAAATGTTTAAAAATCCACAGTTTTGTGTTTAAATGGTTTCAGCGTGTACAACAATTTGGTGCTCTTGTTTCTTAAAATGCTTTATAAATAAATGTTGACTTGACTTGAAATTATTTGAAAGCTAAACTACTACGTTCTTGCCTAAACTATAGTGAGTCTGCATGAGACTCGCTGTGGTTGGAGAGATGCCCACAGAGGAAGAGACTGGATCATTGCTGATACTCATAGAATGCTGATTTCGGCCAATCAAATTTAAGAAAATAAAACAAATTTTTTCATAAACTTGAACATGTCTAATTTACGTCTATGTAAACAACTGCTATTTTGTAAAGAACTTTAAAAACATCAAGCAGCTCCCAGTATTACCTGTGGAGTGGTGCTTGACTGTGCAGCTGGTTGCGCTTTCTTTATCTCGGGCACTCTGGGCTGCAGCGGTGCTCTGGCGGAGCCTTGCCCTTGTGCTAAAGGTCCAACCTTTCCTGCTGGTCCAGAACGAGCAACGGGCCCTTGCCTAACATTTTGTGTTGCCTTGGTAACTGGTTTTGCTTGCCCACTAGGCACTGATGGGCAGGTATTATTGTTACTAGTAGCAATGGGCAGCTCCCGAAGGTTGCTGTTGCGCTGAGGAGGAATCTGCTGCAGTGGAGAAGGCGGCGTCTGAAGAAAAGCAGGAGAAGTTCAGAAAAACGGGTTGATGTTCAGGAGTGAAAATGAATTCACTGACAGCAGTTTTGCTCTAGTGTAGTGAACTGCTTTGCATGAATGAAATATAACTTAATAAGCAGCATCAAAAACACGAAGTGCTTACCATTCTGGGTCTGGCATGGTTGTTACGCTGCTGGTTGCCCTGTGGCCGGGACTGCATCTGTCTATGGCCACTCGAAATCGATTGGCGGAAATGGGGCTGGGAGAGGTGTTGGTCCCGTGGGTGGTGTTGGTGGTGAGTTTGATGTTGGGGTGGAGGCTGGGAGTGAAGCAAGGCCTGGGGGGGTAAGTCCTGTCTGTGTTGCTGGTGCTGCTGGTGCAAGGGCTGATGGGTAAGTTGCGGATCATGGTGCAGGGGCTGCTGCAGTAGACCCTTTAAATAAAACAAAGAAATTAAATTAAACTAATTAAACAAACTCAAATGAGGATAAAATAATCAAATTTACATCTTAAGTGTACAAATGAGTTGGATCAAATGTCATAAAGCTTTCTTTTAAAAGGACATTTACACTAAAGCACAATCTAGTCAACAGGAGTAGAACTGAAGTCGGCACAATTTTACAGTACTTTACCTAAACAGTTAATTTGCTGTTCTTTTTCAATTTCATTTGTTTCTAAAATCACAATTTAATTCAATTTATTAGTAAAACCAAAGAAAATAAACAGTTTTAGGAGGAATGACATCTTTAAAAGAGCGACAGGTGTTTGATGTGTAACAACTAACCCAGTGACCTCAAATAACCATGAACTGACAAATACTGCTAACACAAGAGGGCAGTCTTGTCTGCTGCTTGCATGTAAAAGGGCAGGTTATCCTTACACAGCTTACACCACTTCTGCTTGCTTGTCTGTTTACACTTTCTGTGCCATCTACCCTACCATTCAAAGGTTTGGGGTCAGTAGGTTTTTTTTTATATAGAAAGATACCTTTTATTAAGCAAGTATGCATTAAATTGATCGTGACTGTCAGTAAAGACACATGCACAACCCAAACCTTAATGTAACACTGACATACTTCCTGAGCTAAATTAAGACAGCGAGTTTATGACCTCATAAAATACAGAAATATACAACGCATATATAATGACACATTTTATTTCATGCTAGATTAACATGCAATGTTCACCATGTCAGCAAGGCCATGCTAATTTTTGGTATTTCAACTTACTCTCTGGCGTACCTGCATACCAAATGGCATGTGCTGGGGGCTAAAGGGGGGTCCCTGTTGCGGGGGTGAGAATGGCTGTCTGTGACCCACAAATCCACGGGGACCAGGGGGCCCTGGAGGACCTGCATGCTGCAGGGCTAGACTCTGAGGCCCTTGGTTCTGTCCGAGCCCCAAAGGACCAAATCCAGGACCTCCAAGTCCTCCCTGTGGAGGGAAATTCGGAGGGCCTTGCCCCGACATCGGAAGAACACTGTTATTCAAAAGGGGGGCAGGGCCTGGCTGGTCAAACATGTGCTGGCCTGAAAATCGCGGTTCTGAAAAAAAAATAAAAAAAATTTAATTTCTTAAACTTACACCATCCAATGGATGGAGGAATTGGTATTGAAGACAATGCAGGGCTCCAGTGTGATGTCACATTTAGGTTGACATCCTACAGCTTTCTAAAATGATTTGACCTTACCACCAGGGAAGAAGTGGTCTTGATCCTGATGATGTGGTGGTGGTGGTCCTCTCCATGGCTCCTGGGAAGGCAGAGGCCGCAGAGGTGGGCCAAAATTCCCCAGATGCTGCTGAAAATCAGGAGGAGCCTAGAGGATGAATAACAGCACAAATAAAATAAAAATTCACAGACTCCACAGAAAACACTCTTCACCAAACAGAAATATTATTGTTGATGGATGACTTTTAAAGCCAAAAAGCTTTACACTTCTTATCTTCGTTATTAAATGTGTTATTAAATGTAACACTTCATATTAAGATCATAAACATCCGCTTATGCCATTGAGAAACCTTTTCAGCAGAAAGAAAATGATTTGCATACACCCTTGAATATAAATCTATCCGTTCGCAGTGCTTACCTAACCCATTGCTCATAAAACTCAAAATCCCCTCTCTACCTTTCCAGAGGAAAAAAAGATAACGATCCTTACTAATCCTGCAGTTGAATGCGAATCCTCTCTCCTTTATTCTTTGAAAATATCCTTTGCTCTTAAGAAATTAGCCTTCCTTCAAAGGAGCCACACTCCAGCAAATTGTGATGCTTAGCACCTCTTTACTCATTATAAATGACTTAAGATGCAATCCAACTTTTAATCCACGTTTTCAGCCCTGATCTTTAGTCAGCCAGTGAGTGTCACCAAGGCCAGCCAAGTTGCTTAACAGAAAGTCAATCAGGCAGCTTAGCTAAGCAATGGACAGGAGGGAGCAAGGGAGAATCACATTGTTATTGTAGACTTCATTGCTCTATTCAAAAGGTCAGTTCCTGTAACACAATGGGAGCTTAAGTACATTCACAATACCTTTGCAAGTTTGCATTCGTTTGATAAAAGGAGCATGTCCTTTTGGGGGGCTAATCTTTCGTAAATACCCATGGATCTGCTCAATATGTAACCAGTTATGATCTGACTGGGAGATAGAAAGGGAGTAGGAAAGACAAATGCCAAGCATGGGCTGATGCCATTTAGAAGACAAGCCTCGGGTGTCTTAAAATACACTCTGCAACTTGTTCCTTTCTGCCGTTCTGGTATAAAAAAAAATCATGAAAGTTCAACATTAAGAAAAATGTACTGCACTACTTTACAAAATTCTGGAGACTACTAAGCTTTTAAAGGGAGAGTTCACCCAAATGTTTTTATTCTAATTATTTATTCAACCTTTACCTTTTCCAAACATTTGCAAACATTTGGTTACAAAGATTTTTTTTTAAATTCTGTTGAACATAAAAGAAGTTATACTGGCAACTGGTTTCTAACATTCTCCAAAAAATCCTTAGAAAAAATAACCTTATAAAGGCTTGTAAGAACTTGGTATTGAATAAATGGTAAGTAAATTAAAATCTTTAAGTGAACTGTGACTTTAAACAAAAAAAAAATAATTATGATTCAATCAACATTACTAACAAAGGAGAAATTTACACTTTTACCTTTCAAAATGATTTCTGCTATGACCAGTATTAAACATAAAATACAATATAAATATGTAGCATTGAGATTAATATTCAAAAACTCGAAAGTAGTAAATATTCATAGAGAAATTGCGGATCAGCCTATTGTAAGATGAGATGTGATCATATGCTAATGTATGATAATCAAGAGCCCAGAGGGCTAATGGACGCCGATTCCTGCAAAATGCCATTGGCATTTTTAATGGTGTCCTGTCTGTACCATACTGGCTGTGGGAGACAGACAGCTGGAAAAATGTCATTGTGAAACTTCTCTCTCATTCAGCAAGATCAGAAACGAAAACCGTTTTAAGAGTCCACGATGTCTCCAAACTAGTGGCCACACAGCACAAACAGCATGGACAAAAATGTGGATGGCATGGACATTTTAAACTTTTTATGAAATAAAGAGAAAGTGAATACACTTGATGCCATGAGAGTGATTTTAAAAAGTCATAAGGTATTAATTGATATGGAGTTACAAAAAGTATTTTCTAATAGTGTATAATACTTATAAATTGTTTATTAAATTGTATAAAAGAGATTTATCAATTATAACAAATTTAAAATGAAAAAAAAAATACATACAATTAGAAAATCACTTTCTAACTTTAAAAGAAAATATTGCACCTACAGTAGCACTGCATAGTGGTATCATGTTACTGCAACATGCAACTACAGCTCCAGTGGACAGCAACAATGAACAGAAAACCAAAGTATTTGTAACAGAGCGGAAAAAGAAGAGAATTGGGGAAACAGTTTATTTTATGGGGGTTTCTGATGGTCTCCTCCTTGGCAGTAATCACTTTATCCACAGTGCAGGCAGCTGCATGACGGTTCCTACATCCTTAAAGGGCTTTTATATCTGTTCTATGTTTTCACGGTCTCCATTTCAATTTCAACTGGCAGATCCTCCTCATATACCAGGACACTTTTAGAGAGTCGTTTCTTCCACACCGCACATGTTGCTTTCAGTGTCTATGACTCAGGCAGTTTCGACCGTAACACACAGCAGATTTATGCAGATTGAAATCACTTAATTCTAACTTAAAGCAACGTGAGGTTACTTACCGAGAGTCTCGGTGAAGCGATGTTAGGCCTTGGTTGGTTCTGCACAGGAGGCATTGAGGGAACTGAGATTAAATGGAAATAGAAAAAGCAGGAGTCAGACAGACAGAAAAAGGGATGCAGAACGAGAGAGTGGGTTGGCGTAACACAGACACCATAAAAGTCTCTTCTTGCCACGTGTCTAAACCATGGTTTGTCACAGCTGGTCACAGAGAGAGGGCTGTTCTGCTGATTAAACTCTGCATCTCTCTCTCGAGCAGACTGGGCCACCTAATGAGATAAACTGACAGTCAAAAGGAGTAATTTCGCCGTGAATCATTCCACCTTCGCAGATGTGTGCATTTCAGAAAGCTGGTTTAATGCTGATGGGCTGCCTACAGAGTGAAGGCCACACCAGAGGGAAAAAAACACTTAGAAGGACCTTGCTCTGTGAAAATGTGTGTAAGCATCAGCCGAAAGTGCTTAGCCTAAAAAAATGAACAAAGAAAAAGTACTTTATGAAGCCAAACATGCATCAAAGAATATAGATTTGAATCTGGGGCCATACCTTGCACAGGTGAGGATGATGGTCCTCTGAAGTGAGGGTTGATGTGAATGTTTTTGGGATGGTGCTGTTGGTGCTGCTGGTGTTGGTTGGGATGTGCATGCGAGTGTCGTGGTGGGGAGTTTAACTGTTGTGTTCTGGGGCCTGGTGAACGGTGACTCATATGTGGCATCAACATCTGCAGTGGCTGCTGAGCAATCGGAGTGCCTGGATCTGGAAACAGCCCAGGACCTCCAGAGCTTCTCGGGCCGGGCAGACGAGATTGATGATGGTGATGCTGAAGCGGAGGAGTCATTCTGAGCTGCTGCTTTAAAACGAGAGAGAGAAGCCAAGGATCATCAATCAATAACGTAAGCCTTCTCTCTTTCACCCCAAAAAAATCATTATCTTGTAGTGTTGTGACCTTGGGTCTCCAGACGACCCCTTTAATCAAGTAATCAATCATAAGAGCCAAGTGACTGGGACTGAATCTGAATTAAATGAGGAGTTTAAGACGAATACAAAATGTTCAAGCAGTCTCTCAAAAAACATACGTTGTGCCTCTGTGTCTCTGTTGATTTAACCTAAAAGGACATCACCTCATTTGAATTAAGTGAAGCAGTGAGTGTACTCAGATACACTCACTACAGTCTTTCTCTACACACAATATATTTATTAACTTACGATCAGATGAAGACATGTGCTTGATATGACAACTCATAGACAGGAGCGGAGGGGAATTCAATTAAATCATTATGGCAGTGAGTGCACTATATACTGCTGTCAGCACTGCAATGTAAAAGAACACATCAATGTCGAGGAATGACAAGTTGTGCCAAAAGCCAGGAAAGTCAGGCTTTTCTATAAAAGAAAATCAGCTTTAAAAAAAAAAAAAAAAAAAAGAGGTGCGAACGTTCGAACGAACAGCTCAAGCGCAAAGGGATTACACCCTCAACAGATATTTAATAATAAAATAAGCGCAGGAAGCTAAATCCTTCAGCAAAGTACAAATTTAATTTGGTGTAATGCTTCCTCAATGGACTCCCGCCAAGTTATTTGCCATAATCCATATATCAACATGGATAAGACAGGGAGTGAGAACGGTGATAATTGTCTTTTACTCGAAAGCAAACGGACTCTGCAAGGGTGAGACAAGAAAAAAAGTCAACGCAACATCTAAAACTGATCTTCAACCACCTAAAATAAAATCAAATGCCAAGCTTGCCTGAAATTAAAGTGCCTTTCAAAAGATTGTGGTCAGTAAGTTGTTTTTTCTTTGTTTCTTGAACCGGTCACTTATACTCATTAAAGTATATTTATAAATCAAAAATACAAAAAATTAAACAAATGCTATGACATTTTAAATAACTTTTATATTTGAGCATTTATTACACTTTAATAAACGGTGCCATTTAATAAAAATCAGTGCTCAGTATATGGAAATTGGCATTCTGTGACCCAAACTCAATGGTTTCCTCGTTTTCATGTAAATCCTTTGAGTATAAGGGGCGGTATACAGCAAATCAACACTTGGTCATTGGGCTTCATTGGTACATTCGTCACAGTCAGTCTGACTAGTTGCTTTGGTTTGTTTCCACGCATAACCTCTTGTCCGGTTAACGTCAGAACTCGTCAGCCCGATTAAGGCATGAAGAAACCAGCTGTAATTTTGCTACATTTCTCAAATATTTGTTAATCGATATGGATTATTAGATTATCAGACATTTTTGCAGGAACAAACTCTCAGAGTTGAGTGAAAGCTGCTATAATATTGGTACTAAATATTGCTTTGTTTACACTTTGCACGTGCACACTGGAAGTTCCGGTTTTGCCGTTCTGAACAAAAAACAGATACTGCCCCCCATGGTGCAAAAAGACACATCCTCTTGCACAGACGCAAGACATAAGACCTAAAGCCTGGTGAAAAACAGGCCTATCCAATCAAAATACAGACTGTTACATTGCACATGGGATTAATTATTAAATAGCATGCCCTTAACATTTGCATGTACTATGTGACATTATACATCAACTAGACCTGCTGAATCATCAGAAGTTCAGCTATTATTTTGAAATAAGGAGACACAGGAAGACAAATAAAGCCAAAGACTATAGGCTAAAGCCAACCACACCATGCCTTTACACCGTGTCTTTTCTATGCGCTGTGAAGCAATGAGGACAGATGCTAAATGCAGTGCGTTTTTTTTTGTTTGAAGCTTTTCATAATGCAAAATCCAGGCAATATGGATTATAAATTCATTCAGCTCCACCCCAAATAGGTATAAGGTCTGTTTAATTGTATCTTTTGGTAATTTAGCATGTATTTTGTAAAAATATCTATGTTTGCAATGAGGCAACAAAAACATGTATTTTGGAGTGAAATAACAAAACAATTTATTAAATGCCACCTGTTTATGCAAAGATTGATAATAATTATTGTTTTTCATACATGTTAAAACATTCAAAATACAACTATTAATACATCTCTCTCTGTCACTATTTTCGAGTATAATTCTAATTTAGCATTGATTTCATCAACAATGCAACTAAGGAGAAAAATTATTTTTTCTGGGTGATTAAAGATAGCTAAAATAAACCTCTTCACCACACTGGTGGATTTAACAAGGCATCTATTCAATTTCTTAAAATATATTTTGACAAATTAAGTATGATTTTGTTTTGCACATGTTTGTTTTTGTTTCATTTATATTTCGTTTTATTTCGATTTTGTGCTTGTGTTTGAGTGAAAGAGCAAGCAATGAGCTGCAGGAATTTTAAAGAAGACCTCATTAATATTCATGACTGTCCCAAACATGGTCAATACGGACCTTCTGGTCCTAGTGGATACATTCTGGGGTAATAAAATGTTATATAAAACCATATCTGCTGAATTTTTTAATTTACTAAAGCCTCAGTCTTACTGTGTAGATAAGAGAGAACAATTTAACTTATTGAATCAATGCACTATATGGCATATTTAAACACCAGCATTAGTGTAAATACAACATTTATATTTCAGAGGCTCCTATGTCATGTGCAAAGCTCCATGAAAAGCGAGGCTCAACATTCACACTTGTCTAGAAATACCTGTAAAATTGGCAATCTCAAAACAAGGCTGTCAGTTCAATGACACCTGTCTTTTCACTGAAAAAAATAAAAACCCACGCAATAAATGCACTCATAGGTTTTTCTAAAAGATTAGTTTTAAATGCATTTCCACAGGAATCACAACTGCAGGAAACAACTGCAATGAATGCTGATTGCTAATTTATGTGCACACAGTGATTGTCATGACAACAGCAGAGTATAAAAGCACAGTCTTACTGGCTGACTCAAAATTTTACCTTGTAAATGTGCATTTGTTCCTTCGGGGCTTGTCAGGATTATACGTTTACATGCGGACAATTCTACCTCCGCTCTCTTAATAGTCAATTAAGGGCAGGAGAAGCCTAGAAAACCCCTTGACACAGAATCACAATGGATAATAATCAGCATATATGCTATTCACTTATGCTGAGGCAAAGGTTTGGAATAAAAGCAAGTAGAACAATTGCTTATCAGTATTCCAGATTGAGAAGCAGGGTATTGTTCACTGCTCAGCCCAAAACAGTAGATGCCAACAATAACCAGACAATCAGTACCTAAATAGTATACAAATGGTCAGCGTTTCAGAAAATAAGAGTTAGTCCAATTTCACTAAACAGTGTACATGCATTAACGTAATTTATTAATTTATTAAGGTTTCTGTGGGTTTTACTAAAGTAATCTTAGGATTCTGGTACTCATACTGCTCAATTAAAGTGTTTCCTAAATTATAAAGTGTGATGTGGGGCTGCAACTAACAAGTATTCTTGATAAGTGATTAATACTGATTATTTCTTTGAAAATATAAATATTAGAGTCTAAGACAAAAACAACAGCTTGCTTTCCAATTTAAAATATACATTAAAAACAATTGCACCGACAAAATATTAAATTACAAGCAACACACTAAACTGAACACAACATTAATTATAATACACCTATTAACTATTAAGAGCATTTATTGTTACTGCTCTAATAAAAATTTAATGTCTAGCCAGATATATATATATATTATTATTATTATTATTATTATTTTATAAATCATCACAATTACATTGCTTCATTTACTGCATGTTGATACTCGTTCAGTGAAGTCTCTGAACAGGTGGGCCTTTAGGCAAAATAAAAATTGCCTTGTGACTTTCTAACATTTACAGATTAAGACTCAACTAGTTATGCTGAAGGGAACATGTCTGAAACACTTCAAACAGTACACAGCACATGTATGCCATGCCCATGTCAGGTCAAACTGCGTTACATTCTTATGAAGAACTTATTTGAAGAGCTTAAAGGATTCTCAAGTTTAAGACAACTTGGGTCATGAACTTTCCCCACAATTCCACCCAAGATGTTATATGTTCCTGTCATAGAAATGTGTTATTCACTAATGTAAAGTGACAAGACACACTCAATCAGTTATTTAAATCACTGTTACTTTCTCAATGGATTGCAATTAGATTAACTGATTTGGTTTTGCAGCCAAACTGTAAATATTTCCTATTAAACTGGTCAATTTGAATTCAACACTTAAACCTCCACATTATATTTTTATAGGTTTGTGTAAAGTAATTGATGCCTTTTGTTGACAACTTAAATAAACCTTTGCATTAATTATGTATTTACAGACGTTAAAAATTAAAGTGGATCAAATTGACCCCTTGGATAATAGGAAGGTTAAGCTTCTTCATCCACTGTCTAGAAATCATACATTCTTATGCACTAAATATAACCGCTAATAATTAGTCATTAATGGTTTAATTCTATACTAAATACAGCTGTCAAATCACATAGTTGAGCATTTGTGTTAAAGTCATTAGTCTTTTACCTGCATTCCTAAGTTCATTTGCATCAGTGGAGGCCTTTGCTCGTTTATTCTCCCTCGACCTCCAACTCCATCGCCGCGAAAACCTCCCATTCCAAACATGTGGAAATCATTTCTTCCTCCGAGTCCTCGACCTCCAGCTCCTCCTCTTCCTCTCATTCCACCTCTACCTTGCATTCCTCCTCTTCCTCCATCTCCATACGGTCCTCCTCTCCCTCGTCCTCCAAAACGACCCTGCTTTCTCTGACGCTCATTCTCCTCAAACTTCTGCAGGTCTGCTTTAGCTTCCTTAGAGAGCTCTGAAAGAGAAGAGAAATGAATGGCAAATGTCCTCATGAACAATCAAATAGCCTTTTATTCTGCACTTCATTAGGATAATGGGAATAAAACTATAATTTATAATACGATCTTATTGGTTTTGATTTATGATCACTTGGGGAGCCGAGGTAAAGGGATATTTCACGCAAAAATGAAGATTTTGGTATCATTTTGTGAAACACAAACGATGATATTTTGAAGAAAGCTTGGAACCTACAACCATTGGCTTCTATAGTATATTCAATCTACCCTATATGGAGGTTAATGGTAATATGTTTCCAACATTCTTTAAAATATCTTTTGTGTTAAAAAATTAACTTAAACTGGTTTGGAACAAGTGTAGGGTACTTAAATTATAAAAGAAATCACTTTTGGTGTGAACTATTTCTTTAGTTTAAATATTAAAAGGTCATTTGACACTACATAAAAATTCTCAACATTTACCCATATTAAGTATTAGTTCATCTTCGGAATGTATTAAACATTTTTTTCACAGCCATTTCATCCCAAATGCTTAAGATTCTAAACTTATATAAATCAGAAAATTATATCTATAATCTAATTATATCTATATGATTTTATTAATCTTCTTAAGAGTTAAGGTTTATGTGACGATCATATTTTATTTTCATTTTAGTCAAGCCTCAAAAACTGGATCCCCGAAGCTCAGGTATGCTTGCTTGATCCACAAGAACCCTTAAGGTTCATTCTTGCATGTCACCAGAATGTTTGAGCTTCCACAAGAACCTTTGAAGTTCATTCTCAAGTGTCTGTCAACTGTGATTGAGCTTCTGTTCATTTGATGATCAATATTTATAAGAAATAAAAAAACTAAATCTGCTCATCATATAAAGCAGAGGCTTTCAAAGTGTGTCAACTGGAATACAGTGATGTCAACTGATAGATCCTTCTAAATACGAATACAAAAAACAAAGAATGAATGCAAAGAAAGAGTGGAATCTGCTTGAGGAGTCATTAAATGCACAATAAATCTCAAATGAAAACTGATTTCAGGACTAAAAAGTGGTTGTCTGTTTTGGGTAATTAGACTTACAATGTAGGGACAAACAAAAAAATCTTAAACGCCATGAGGGTGAATAAATAACTAATTTTTTTCTTTTGGGTTAACAAACACCTCAAAGGCATAGTTCTCCCAAAAAAGGTAAATTCTGTTATCATTTATGCACCATCCACTTGTGCCCAACCTGTTTTATTTTTTGTTCTGTTGAACACAAAAGAAGATATTTTGAAGAAGGCTGGAAACAATTTCATAGTATTTGATTTTCTACTATGAATATAATGATTTATTTCCCAAATATTTTCTTTTGCGTTCAACAGAACAAAATAATTAAACTGATTTTAATTAAATCAAGGCTGATGACAGAATTTTTGTTTTTGGGTAAATTATCCCTTTAATTAAAAAAATACATATTTTTACTATCATTTGGTTAAAAAAAACATTAATACTTTCTTTTTAAAGCACTTAGACACAATTTACATTTTTAACTATTACAACATCTCAGTCCAAAGAAAATATAACAAAAATGTAGAGAATATGACAAAAATAAAAAGATTTTCATTAGGTTTGATACATTTGATTGCACTTTAGATTAGTCTTTTTTTCCATCAATGTCAATATATGCTGATGTAGTCACTATTATTGTCTAATGTCATCTGTGTCATCTTCATCTCGTCTTAGCCTTACAAAAAAGGTAATCAAGGTGATTTTTCATCATTGTTTTTTTTTTAATTGACAGGATTAACACCTTTGTAACAATACAAACAATACAGTGCTTTATTTGTTAGCAACTAACCTAATGTTTCTGGGATGTTTCTTCTTTTACTGGCAACATCAGACAACCGGACCACTGTGTCATCTTTGCGCTCAGTCTTAAATCGCAGGCGGCCAGATTCTTCATCATCTTCCTCTTCCTCATCAGACTCCTCCTTTACATCTGCATCCTGCTCATGCTCAGCTTCTAGATCGTTTTCATTGTCTGCCTGAAGTTTGCAGTGAACTTGCATCAGACGGTGTGACTTTAAATCATCATCATGAATGAAGAGACCACAAACTCATCCTTTACCTCCTCTAATTCAGTGACATGAGAGCTGTCCTGCTCCTCCGTTTCCTCCTCATTCGCCTCCTCTTCCTCCTCAGCCACTTGTTGTTGGTTGGTCTCCTGCTCTCTATATTCTGTTGGGTACTCATCCACCTGTAAGAGATAATCAAATATTTATTTGGTGATTTAAGCAGAACTTGAGCATAAGGGCACCAGCGCATCCTCTATTGAAACACCTGCTGCTCTAGCATGTTATAGATGAATGCTACTGTTCAATGTCAAAAACAACATTGATGAGGATAAAACATTAGAATGATGCAAAAATCTATATAATTTTTTTTATTACTAAAAAAATGCTTTAACAGCATCGAAAAACCTGGAAAAGGAGCACTTCTACCATGTAAAGGCAAGAGTAAAAATTAAAATTTAAGGAAAGAGAGAAGGGACTGCCTAAAACGAGAAGATTCGTTACACACAAAGACAGCTAATTTGAACAACAGCAATGCAGACACACACACACTATGAAATGAATGCCGTGAGTAGCAGATAAGGCAGTTCTGAAAGGAGTATCTCAATCAGATCACAAATAGGGGATGACAGACCAGATCCACTGTCCTAAAAAACACATAAAAAGAAAAGAAAAAAAAAAAAAAAAAAAATATATATATATATATATATATATATATATATATATATATATATATATATATATATGATGGCGTCAACAAGAACTAAACCCAAATGATGTGACATGCTGCCTTTCCCGCCCACCTCCAAACACTACTCCAGTCATACGCTGCACTAGCTCGCAAAATGGCTAGTAACGTTAATGTAATCCTCCTATAACCAACAGTGGGTCTGGCGTTTGGGAGCACTTTGGTTTCCCTGTAAGTTATGAGGGTGATGGTAAGAGAGTTGTGGAAAAAACCACAACATCAACCACAGCGATAAGCTATTTCAGCGGTAATATTCGAGCATGTCAACTCATTTACACTGACATCACGAAATTAGACAAAAGCTGGAAACACGTGCACTATATGCAACTATTCTCGCAGCATTCAGACAGACAATTACTACAGATTCAAACAGGGCAAAACATTTAAAGCTGTGGATATGAGACAGGTCTCGAAATTGCCCTGATGTTGTGCGACCAGTTTTCACAGCAAAATGTTCACCACATGCGCGGAATTAGGAGGCATTCAAACATTAAGCAACTTTGCACCTAAAAACGCCAAACACAGAGCTCATGAATAGTTTAAAACAGTTGACATGTCAACTTGCTGCAGTAAATAAAGCCCTGCTTGCCCCGCCTTCAAGCTCTTCTTATTGACCCACTGCGCTAGAACAGAACGCTAATGAATTGGTTAATATTAGCTGTCGATCACTCAGTTCCGATGACAGGGAACTACAGGTCGCAAAAAATGTTTACGGCTGGATACGAGAGAATATTAACAACACTGACAGATTTAGTTTTAGAAACCAGCTAGAGTTACAAATAATGGCAGATCTGATTAGTGATCATGTAATGAATGTCATTCATTTTTGATTTTTGTTTATTTGTTAGTTGTGATTAGAGTGTTATTATATAATAGAATCTGTTAATATAAAACGTGTAGTAACGGTGCTCATAATTTTTGATGGGTGCGACTAAATTTTGTCTGGTGAGCCTAAATTTTTTAAGTTAGGAGCACTGGTGCTACCCAGAAAAAAAAGGTTAATTTCGAGCCCTGTGAGACCTTAATCGGTTGTGAAAATGTCGGGTTTTAAGAAAATGTTATATGTAATAGAGCCCCGCTACATTATTCCTTTATAAGCCCATTTCAGTCAGATAATTCCTGCTTTCAGACCCACTAAAATGGCAGATGACAGTCAAATCAAGCAGAACTGTGCTGTAACTGTCTTAAGAAAAGGGAGACACTCATCTTTCTGAAAATAAAAAAAAAATTACTTAATTCATTGAAACTGAGTTCCATATAAAAGCTAAATTAATCTTTTCTTTTTATTTGTATAACAACTACAATATTACATAGATTTTTTTAAGCAGATTTAGTTTTATTTGCTGCTACACAGCGACCTCATGTAGCTCTATCACTGTTTAAAGTAAAAGAAAAAAACAAGATCATACTTTAATGATGTTAAGTTTTAATGCATTAAAAAAAAATCTGAGAAATATTCTGGCTTTTTCTTCTTTTGCTGTATCGAAAACATACCGAACCGTGACACCACTCGTGTCGTATCGAACCAAACCGTGATTTTTGTGAACCGTTAAACCCCTACAAATGATGACTTAGTCCTATTTGTACAACCAAACATGACGGAGTATTTTAAGTTGTTCAGCTACAGAAAAATCAGCAGTCATCCTTGAGCTTTATGTGTAATAGTACAACTGACATTGCAGCCTGTTCATCAAACAAAAAGTAAATGACTATAACTAGATTATTGTCAGAGACAGATGCAAAGCAGGAATTTGGGCTGCTTAATTATTTAAAAAAACAATAGTGATTATTTTGGACAAAATTGTAATCAGGATTGAGTGGGCCATATGACCAAATTGTTAAATCCTACTATGTTTTTATATATTTTGTAGAATCCATAGCTATTACACTTAAACATTTAATATTGTACATTTAAACATATGTACAGTAATATTTTAATTATGGCTGCACGATACTGGAAAAAACGAACATTGCGATATTTTGTTTTTCTGCGTTTTATATTGCGATATGTATATAATTTCAAAAGATCCCTTAAGGAAGTCTATTTGGAAAAAAAAACTCATAATTTTAATTTGATTGGGAGTTTGACTTTGACTTTGGGATTTTGTAGGTGAGTGCATCTGCGTTAAATATACAAAGTTACCATAAAATAAACTTAAGCATTAATGAAAACAATAGAACAATGATCCAAAATAAAACAAACATCACTATATGTTTTTTTCCATAGAGTTTAACAGTATCAAGGTACAGAAATTCAATAATCAATGTAAAGCAACACTGCATGTAATATTCATTGCACAAATAAACATAATTATTATACTAAAGTGGAAAACTTTATATCTTTTTGTGCCCAAATTGTTCAAATTCACTTGAAATCTTAATCTCACAGGCACTGAAATAACATAAAAACACAAATCTTTCACACTATTATACAAAAGTTAAACTTCACAATCAAAACATCTGCTTTAAACTGGGGTTGCGGGTTAATTATTTTCCCCACTTGACATTGCAGATCCTGCAATGTGATTATTGCATATTTTTAGCAATGCACAACCTATATCCTAATATATTTTAATATTCTACTTCTACATAGAAAAGAGATTTGGATCTTAAAAATCTCAAAAAATGTTTTAGTGGGTTTCATGGCCCCAGTTAAAAAGATAAAATACATACTAGTTATTCACACTCAAGGGGTTTTATACCTTCATGTGTTCCTTTTTCTGTTGAAGGTACACAAAAAAGGGCAATTTAAAAAATGTTAGAAACCTGTAACCACTGGCATCTATATAGGAAAAGCAAATACTATGGAAGTCAATGCTAATACAATGCCATTCAATTCTCATCTAATATTTTTCCAAATATCTTAGTTTGTATTCAACAGAAAAAGCAAGTGAAGGGCGAGTAAATGATGACAGATTTTTTTTATTTTTGGATGAACTATCCCTTTAATGGCACTTCTGAGCAAGAGGCCGGAAAGGCCCAGTGCAGCAATCTGAAATCGGGGAGGGGAGGGAAAGGGGGCGCTGAAGGGGAGTCTTCCTTAATTAGCATAACAGTGGGAGCCCAGTCTCATTACTATGCCCTATTACCATTCCTGCTGATATTTGAAATTCAATGAGATGTAAATGTTTGACATGATACACAGAGAATGGGAGATAAACACGCACACGGCTCAGTGGTGGTGAAAATATCATTGACTGTGTTGTCTTTACACACACTCGCACACACGCACGCGCAAACAGACACAAAGAAAGCTCCAGCGCACACATAGCTCACTGACAGGGAAATATCATCATCCGACTCTGAACAAATTCTCACACACACTCGAGCACAGAATGTACAAAAGCATCCAGAGAGACAAGCGCACAGCATCTGCTGACTACCTTGCTGAGCTTCCCATCCTCTACCACGGCTTTTGGGGGCTCTCTCACCAGAGGAACTTCTTCATAAAAGTACACACGTTTTTTTTGAATGTCTGCACCACAGGAACTAGGAACTTATTAGTTATAGGAACTAAATTAGCCTATACTTCAGAGAAGGGTTTCGCCCACCACAATAGGAAGTACCAGTAATGCAAGTTGATTGGGTGAACCCACGCCATATACAAAACCCTGACTACATATTTTGAAGCACTAGGAGAGATACATGTATGAACATAATCTTACAAGCAATGTGCCTTAAGGTCTTTGCACACTGAAATCAATTTTCATATGCGTTTTTTCATATTCATATGCAAAAAATTCATCAAGTAAACAAACCAGTCCGATGCGTATTAATGTATTACGAAAAAACAACATTTCTGAGTCTCCTTTTTTCTCCAAAGTAAAAAAGGAGGAATGGGTGTTCATTCAATACTGTATAGAGAAGAAGGAGGGTTAAGCTCATTTTTAAAGTGTCTTTCTAAGATTTATTCATTCATTTATTTTATTTTCAGCTTAGTCCCTTTTATTAAACTGGCGTCGCCACAGCAGAAAAAACTGCCAACTTATCCAGCATATGTTTTACACAGTGAATGCCCTCCCGGCTGCAACCATCACTGGGAAACATCCATACACAGTGTGTCAAAATGATCAACACATCGTGAGTTCGAATGAATGTTTTTAACCTGCAAAAATTACGGATGAAAGTTTTGTATTCAGTGTCCAATCACCTACAGTGTTTTGTCTATTTTACTCAGCCTGAAGATATGCTTTTAGCTCTTTTATTTGGTCAATTTAATCATTTTAACTGCTTAGTATGGTTGCTTAAATATGTTATGACCAAGCAATCAAGCTATGTCAGAAAGTAACAGCAAGACAGTAACTCTGCTCTGTTTCAGCTTGATAAAGCTATACCAGTGAAGCAAAGTGCTAGCCATATTAAATTTATTTTGTTTGTTTACATCAGGCATGCTCAACCCTGTTCCTGGAGATCTATCTTCCTACAGAGTTTAGCTCCAACCCTAATCAAACACACATGAGCCAAATAATTAGGACATGAACAACCCTTGATAATAAAAATGCAGGTGTATTTGATGTGGGATGCAACTGAAATCTGCAGGAAGGTAGATCTCCAGAAAGAGGGTTGAGCACCCCTAGTTTACATTGTTAAAATGTCTGCTTTTTGCTTTGCTTTATCGAACAGTAAAACATGGCTGTTTACTTTCACAAGTCATAGCGATGCTTTCTTTTCCCTGTAATAAAATGAAAAAGTTTTGAAATATTGCATTATTTAGCATCCTATTGTATCTCATAAGCAACCGCCACTAGATAAGTGATGTCTGACTGGATGTTTTTCAGCTGATGTATGAACGTTCTGCCCACATGGTCAACTTCAGATTTATTGAGGGCTACTGCAATCTAAAAACAATAACATCAGCCTGACACAAAACACCTAGCGACCTGAAGTAAGAGTGGGTATTCATGAATGGTCATGACTGCTGAAAATTCACCATAACAACTTGCGTACTAAACAGACAATTTTAAATGTTCCAAATAATTAAACACTTTACCAATTAAAGATTTACAAATTGTACCGGTAACGTAAACTACAAGCCAAAGAAAAATTAAAACTTTCATCAGTGCAGAATTATGGCAGATATCAATCTAGACTGACATGAAATTTTCATGTATTCAAATATGGCCAGCAACCATGATTATGGGGACAAACAGATCCAAACTAACTTCATCTGGTTTGCACCATTCACGTAGCCTTGGAGTCATGACGCCTAAAGCGACTAACATCTCACCTTTAGGCACAAGCAAAATCCAATAGTAAACATTGTCACAGGGCACCTTTTATAATCCATTTGGACAACACAGATTTCACTGCTATGGAAAGTCAACAGTACTCAGACCAACCTATATTTGAAGAGACAGTATCTTTTTAGCCATATCCTTGAGAAAACGTGTGCTGTACGCTTTTATTACAACACGCTTCAGGTGATTTTTTTTACTGAGAATCCAGATCTGTGTGGGAGGAATAAGCCTTTATTGTAATTTACAGAATTAAGAGGAAACTGGCAATGAAGAAGCAAACTTGCGAAATGAGATGTGAGGGCCGGCCCTCTGTGCACCTGTCAGCACTGTCCTGGATGCAGTGATCAAGCGATCACATGGACAGGTAGAACGTTCAACGACATCTGTCCCGCATTAAAGGTCAATGAAAGACAGAACAAAAGCAGCAGTCTGATGAGCCTCGAGTCCTACGGGGTTTTATCACTCTGTGTCTTTGTGTAAAATGACTAACCCTGATGCTCAATGGCCACAGCTTGACCATAGCAAATCATATTTAGCTCATTTATGTCCAATAAATTGAGGCAAAAGACACCACTGACGCCATCAAAAGCCATTGAAAATTTTGTGTATATACACTAATACACATACAAAGCAGTGCCTCCATGTATGCACACACGCAGAACTATAGAGTTGGACACAAGGTCAGACAGATCCAAATGACTACAACATGTATCTTGTGCAGAGCACATGAACTGGCCAACTACAGGGCAAACGGTTAATCCTTTAAATCGTTCCACACATTAACTCTGGATAACAGTAAACACAAAGATGCTAAGCGCCAGCAGCCAAGCGACCTTGTAAACAGAGATATCATATGGTCAAAGTGAACACTGAAACTAAAGCAGAATTGAAGCAATGACAATATTGGAATAGAAGTTGCCGTTGTTTTATTACAGAGAAAAACCCTAATCTGATTTCAGACACATTTCCCAAGACGAGTTTCTGAGGCAAGGCTTAAGGCTTTTCCTAGACTAAATTATAAACCAAATACATCAGTGCCATAAGAAATGTTAAGATACACACTAATAATAAGAGCTGATCAATATATTGTTTGAGCATCGATATTGCAATGTGTATATACGCAATAGTCAGATTGCAGAATTAGATTAGTTATTAAAGCTTTAAAAGATAATTTTTTTTTATTTTTTTATTTTTTTATTTATACAATGATGTAGGGCTGCACGATATTGAAAAATTCTAATATTTCACTATTTTAATTTTCTGCTATAAATACTGCAATATTCCACAAGATAGTTGAATGGCACTATTTGAAAAATTTCTGGGCAGTCTAACAGAATTCAGGTAAAGAAATTGTACAATCAAAATGCAGAAAAAAAATTCTTACTTTGGTTAATGTCTAGTCCAAATATCTAAAACTTGTAGATCAAATAAAAAATATTGTTTAATTTTCAACTTTAGAAGAAATAAGTAAAAATTAAGAAGCTTTCCTTAAAACAAGCAAAATTATCTGCCAGCGTGGTAAGTAAAATAATCTTGTTTTTGCCTTGAAATGTATATATTTGGACTAGAAAGAGAAAAAAAATTCTAAGTAAGAAAAACATGTATATGCTTCTGGTCAACTACATTTCAGACTCAACATTGCGATGTGCTCATTGCAAATGCGCACATTGCGATGTCGATGCTGAAATGACTTATTGTGCAGCCCTACAATGATGATTATTTTATTTTACATTTGATTGTTCAATTCCTGTATTTGAATACTGTTGGACTCCCCAGAAATTCATTAAGCACCGTTTACTCTACTTTTATTTTTGCTGTCATATTAATATGTTTTTGTATTAATAAATCTATTATATTTTATGCAGATGTACAGCATAGCAAAAAGCTTGACCAACACAGTTGATCTAAACGAAATCTTTACAAATAGAGCAATTCAAACCATATGTTGAAATAATATTCAAATCACAATATATAGCAGCAAAACAAAATATTGCGATGCCAGATCTTTCAATATCGTGGAGCCCTTCCAGTAATATTTAATGGGTAGACTTTTTATAACAGCTACTTAAAATCACATAATTTAGTAAAGGCCTAGTCCTGGACTAAAATAAGCCCTGTTTGTTAAACCGCCCTATTATTCAGTGTACTCGCGTACACTGAATAATCGCGTAAATTCTGTATAAAAACAGTGATAAAATACAATTCTGTAGCAACTGGTTAACTATAATCCAGACTTAACATTAAATTTCTTTGTGATGTGACTATTGGGGATGTGCACATTACAGTATCGATGCGGAAACGATATATTGTGCAGCCCTAGTCTGAAGACACCATTACTTTGTATTAATTTAAGAAACTGAAGTTCAATTATTGTAGGTAAAGCAATAAAATTAACATTTATTTAATGAATCACTTTCTTGGTGAAAATAGTTCACACTCGGATGACAAAAGAGATTTACTTTGTGTAATACCAGGCAATATCACGTTGCATTGGTTGTAAAACATGTCCTGCCACTGACCAATCAGAAACACAACATCATTTGCCTGTAGAGCTGCGTGAATTGGGGAAAGATTCATTTTGTGTTATCGAGGTCAAAAATGCTAAATGAAATAACCATGGTATCACGTTTTCCATTTAAAACGAGACTTTTACTAAATTTAAAAGACATATTTGCACAAACTTGTTATTTTCACAGTAGTACTGCTAAACAAAATAAATAAAAAGACACATTTACATGCAATTATTTTTTAACATTTTGTCCAAACAAACTAACAGGGACTTTTACACACAATTAATATCAAATCATGTCACCAATGCAAGCCTAATGAATGACAGTGCACCAGTAGGGATGTGCCAGGCTATCATGCAAAAAAAATTTAACAAGGAGCAGTGAGCAAAACACACAGAAATGAGCTCTTTATGACTAAGTCATTGTCTGATATTGTGGTTTGCAATGTGTAATTTAATAAGATATGAAACATTAGAAACTAAATAAATTCGAATTTGGACATTTGAATGTTCAAATTCATTCCATTTGATTAATTTTACACATCCAAAATGGTTAAAATATAACTTCTGTGGTTTTAGAAAGACAAATTATAATTAACTCAGAGGAAAGTATATACAGCCTTTTTTTGTTTTGATTTTTTTTTTATTGAAAGAGTTTTTTTTTATCTAAATATATATTTTTTTGTTTAATTCAAACAAATATTGCTCTATCTAGAAAGAAACTGATATAAATAATTCATAAACCATGCACTTAACATCTCATCTGGGTTTGGATGAGTAAATGATAACAGACTTCTCAAGTTCGGGTAAAGGATCTCTTTAAGATCCAAGCAAATAAATAAATAAACATGTACAGAAAGGACACAACTCATCAATCATGCCCCTGTGTTGTGTCTGCTAAAGACCACTTTAAAGAAGGTCAGTAATCTTTTCACCTACAGCCAACTTTATCAGATCCTGTCTAAGAGCTCTTCCCATTCGCCAGCATGGATTGGCAGGACATCTGCTGAACAAAGACTGTGAAAAGAGTCTCGCCTGAACAAAACCCTGAGGCCTGAGGGTCACAAAGCACGAGTTGTCAGGCTGTAGACATGCAGGAAATGTGCTGGGGGATTATGGAGAGTGTGTGTAAGCCATAGAGTAAGAAAGGAGAACGCATTGCTTACTTGGAAATCGTCATCCAGTGGCTCGTCGATCTGAAGGTCCAGCACCTCGTCTTGATATACAGCAAAATTCTGCTCTCCTCTGTATTCAAACCCTTCATCCACAGCTTGGTACTCATCTCCTTCATACTGTCCATCCTGAGAGAAACCCGCCTGGCCCCCTTCACCCTCTTCATAAGCATTTCCTGTATATCCACCTGGATCTTCAAAGTCAACAGAAGTGCCCATACCCAGCGTCGCATTCAAACTTACGGCTTCACCTTGACCACTGGTTAACAGACACACAGAGAACAAACAAAACAGATCTTAGTGAGTTACCAAAGCTGTTTTATGTTCATTAGAAGAAAGAAATTCATGCAGGTTTGGACGAGGGTGGGTAAATGGGTCATTTTTGTAGATTTCCTTTTCTTATACAGTGCATTCCAGTGATGGTGCAGGACAGATTATACATATTATATGTCAACTTTTCCTTTAACATGCTATTTTCATTCTAAGGCCCTGTCCACATGAACACTGGTATGTTTAACCGCACTTTTTTGTGTGTGGTTTCGCTGTTAGTCCATACAAAAACTGAGCATCATAATGCGGAAACTAATACTTTCTAAAAACAGGGTGAAGATTATGTTAAAGTCCAAGTACAGTGTGGTCATGTGGTAACTAGAACTGGACATTTGACTCATGATGTCAAGTGTCCGCACTATTCACACTTCACAACCAAACCCGGAAGATGTGAATGAGTCAAATTTTGCATGTTTGCAGCAAACGTATCGCATCTTGTTGGACCGAGGCATGGTAATCTGCCTCCGTTCTTGCGTTTTTATTGACTTGTATAATGTTTACTTGCAAAATATACTTCATTCTCTATTTAGCGTGAGCTCAGCAGAAACATGTCCTTATTTCAACCTGTTGGTTTGGTGTGCCCTTAACGTGCATCACAAAGACAGAGTTTTGTTTTAAACAAAGGTGGAAAAAACTACATTTATAAAAATACTAGTGTACAAGGGGTGTACCAGTGTACTAGTTCAAAGCTGATAAATAAGTGTAATTATGTTTGTAAAGTGCTATTTCCTCCTTAAAAAGACATAATAGGCTAATAAATAATGCAAAGTGTCATTTATATAAATCTCCCTCAAAGCTTGGCTTGTTAATTAGGGTATTTAGAGTAAATAGCAGGATGAGTAAATGGGTGATGTACAAGTGACCTTGAGTTACTGTTACATCAGAGACTGAAGTGAAGCATGTCACTCAAATTTGCTATTTTAAACACGTCACTTAAGGTAGAAGGTGTCAAAGTTAGTTCAATGTCAGCTGTAATTATGTCATGGATGAATTGCTCCTGTTGGTTTTAGAGTATTGAGGCTTTGAATAAATTATTGGGAAAATGTCATTTTGACCCCACCACAAGCTGAAGAGTATTTTACTAACATTATTATATACCTCAACACTCATAAAAACACTTTAATAGTAGTTCGATTTTAGATTGTAGATTTAAGTATTTTGCAGTTAGAACATTTGTGTTAAGAGTTGGAGTCATACTGTCAGAACCAGAACAAATATAAATTTTTGTAAGTTTAGCATGCACAATGTCACAAATCAGGTTTCCTATGAAAAAGAATACAATTGGCATTTTCGTAGATTAATGTCTTCTACAACAGCTCTAATATGCTCTAACACAATGAATCTTTCATATACATTTGGCCAGAAAAATCTTATAAAAACATGAAAGATGTGACCATATTGAGATCATATGACCACATGTAAACATTAATAGTAATAACAATGTTTTTTTCTTTTTAATTCAGCCAATTTTAATGGTTTTTCTAAGTAAGGACTGCACAATTAAACGAAAGCAAATGCCATATGCATTTTGTCAATGAAGTCAGTAGTGCAATCAGCAGTAAATTTCCACCATGTGCTTCCAGACAGAGCAGCATGTACTACAAAGTCGTAGTTCTATGACAAGCTATAGAATTTAGCAATTTACAATTTAACTTCAAAATAATGAAATCAAAGATAATCATGCTGTGATGACAGCTGTTTGTGATGCTTCTCAGTGAACTATGGTTCTGTAGAAAATTCTGCTATATCTGACAGCATGTAAAAGTACCACAACTAGTTACATGCTTTTAGTCCAATCTAGTGTTGTCAAAAATATCGCTATTCAAGCATTGCTATAGAGCAATCCGCTAATACATCACATTTAGTAAAGCACTTGAAAGACTGACATGCAGAGTCGATTAAAACAGAAGTATTGCCAGACAGAAGACATCACTGGACATAAACAAACAATCAGAGCACTATTGTAGGCCTATTCATATTTAATGTATTTAACATTCAGTGGTAAAAAAAGGCATAATATCAGAAATAGTGATCACTGCGGTTTCTGCGATTTTTGTGGTTGCTTTTGTTCCTCTGTGGTTGGTATTGGATTTAAATTAGAAACATCCTTATTATGACAACACTAGTCCAAACTCACTTCATAACTTCCTTTGAGTGATAGAGACCAGTTAAGTAAGATGATTTGGCTTCTTCAAAAGAATAAACAGAAATAACATATTTTGTATTTTTCCCAAGCAGTGATGAAGGCATAGTACTATTATAAACTTTATTAAGAAGAAAATTATAAGATATTAGATAGGCCATATATTGTCATGTGTTGATTAGTCATGTTAAATCAGTGAAAGCAGTTAAATGTATTCTGTGTTCAGCAAATGCAATAGGAATTTTCTGGTTTTCTACTTCGGGGAACATTTGGGGTTTTCTTCAGGCCTTAAGGCTGATTAATACTTTTGTGCCAAGCGTACGGGTATGGTCCAGTACATCCTTCGTGTGGTCAAATAGCCCTTGCCATGGCTGATGCTGACGTGCAACCCTCGAAAAATGCAACATGTAGCAACAATGCATAGTGCAAGCTCTGTAATTGGTCGGCTTGGTAGCACTGATGAGTGTGGAAAGCGCTGAGAGCCATGAGCTTGCTAAAGCCAGTGTTTATAAGTGTTGAGTCGCGTTAAAAGAGCTTCAGATGGAAACTTTTGTTGTGTTTAGTTTATGATTAAAGTTGGTGCATGTCTGCCAGTTCCCGTCTCTGAATGAGCGAGTTATGGCTACTTGTACATTAAGGTAGAGTTCAGAAAAAAAAATCCATGAAGAAACTCGATACAGAGAAACATAAAACCCTCACCTTTACTACTGATCACAGAACCATGCTTCCCTGACAATATGTGCATGACAATTGCAGCTTTGGCTAAATTGTTATTTGTCATGCAGCCATAATAAAAGTACATGTTGCAATTTTGCTAAATAAAAAATAAAGAAAAAAAAATTATTTGAAACAAATACAACATACACAGAAAAAACAGATCTCTGTCTTGCTTTCAAAGTCAAGAAAAATCTAGAAAACAAGTCCTTAAATCATAAATGTTTTTTGAAGTATCTATGTTTTCAGGTTATTGAAAACTCTTGCCTTTCATAAACTGTTCAAGTTCCTTTTTAAAAAGGAAGTAAATTTGTCTAGATATGTTTCTGATGTCTGAATGCCAAAAATTTAATGTGACAGCTGAATTTCTCTGAACTTATTTAAATGCTGATCACAATATACACCACTTGCCTCGATCACTAAGCTCTTTTTGTGGGAAACGTGCTTACTTGGAAAGATAAATGAAGCACACGCAACTTTCATCCATCAGTTTTGAAAGCACTGTAACGTGTTTTACTGTTACACTGTTACTACATCTTTGTAAAGACCTAACTGGCCTATTTGAATTGGTTGCTTTGACAAACACATCTGACTTGATTAGTGTGGACAGTCCATGTGAAATATCTTATGTCTTATTTAAGTCTGATTTTACTTTCAGCCTGGAAATAAATAAGGCATAATGATGAATTTATTCGAGAGCATTTTAGCAGGTACCTTATATTTTGGTCTTCTTCATCACTTTGCAAGAGATCATCGTTCAGTTCCTCATCTGACAGCTCTGAGGGGTTCTGAGTGGGGACAAAAAAAGTAAATGAAACATAGAAATCTATTTAAATGCTTCATGAACCAGAACGTCTGCTTAATCCACTTGATTTTTAGTAGGATTTAAAATCTTTAAAAAATTTTACTTGCTGTACAGCTGCTGGAAAATATTTCTGTATTGCTTTTAGTTTAAAGGGGTGGTCCACTACGATCTCATATTTTAAACTTTAGTTGATGTGTAATGTAACTGTGTGAACATAAACAACATCTCTGAATGTAAAAAGTTCTAAGTTCAATGCAAAGGGAGACCTTGGTTTTTACAGAGTTAGCTTAGCAAAGCCTACAATAAACGAATTTTGGGGACTACAAAAAAATACTTCCGCCCCCTGTGACATCACAAGTTCGCTTACTGCGCATCCCACACTGCGCATGCAGGTAAGGGCCGTGGCCAGAAGCACTGTAACGTTATAACAGAGATGCGTCTAAACGCTGCTGTTTCCACAGAGCTTCGTCTGGATTTGGCTAAAATCTCCTCAAAGCAGAAGTTGTAAGCTACAAGTAAGTGTTTTTATTTGTTAAAATTGATCATGACATGTACAGTGTCTAGCGTTAACGGTATGCTGTAGCAATGATGTAAACAATGCGAAATGCTGCTTTGCGGGCAAACGATTTACCTACAAATTCATATCTATCAGCCAAACTGCTGTAACACACTCACACCACCAGCACGTTCGTGTCTCTTATGTGTGTGCGCACGGGACTGCACTGATAGTCTTCAAGGAGCTCCATGTGTTTCACATCTCAGATAATGAAGTCGCAAAAGATATGTGGATGATTCATATTACTTACACCTGCATATTCCGGATACTCGTGAAAGATGTCATACGCATAGAGTTAAAGAAATACAGATTAGCTTACCTGACTAGTGGTCGCAGCAGAATAATAAATCAAGGCTCAACAGGTAGCATCTCACACCTTGTGCTTTATTCTTCTGTCACGATATATTACAGAAAATAACTTAATCCAAGCATCAGAGAAAAAGAAAGTCCCACGCACATGCGCTTGCTAAAGTTTACACATTCACACACACACATAGACGCACACACACTCGCTGTTAAAGGAGCCGCACCCTATTTTCACTCCTTAGTTACTGACACTTGTCAGATGTTATTTTAGAGAGCGGGCGCGAGGTTGACTGCATGTTTACACAGCAGAAAAGCACATGCTTTTACGGGCCGATCCGCCAATAGCAGCACATTATGACGATGACCAATCAGAGTCACTTAAGGGCGGGCCTTTTAGAGGAACTAGGAAATATGACAGCCGTTTTCATGTTAGCTGAGTAGCTGTGTATAATCAAAGTGAGATATATGAAAAAATTACGCGATTTCCTTCAAGTGAACCATAAGCACACATTGCTTTGCATCTTATAAACACAACCAAGCCTTAAAATTACATTCTGGACCACCCCTTTAATACGGATGCTTATTGACATTTACAAGTCAGAAATTTTAAGATCAAATGTTGTTGTTTTTTTTTTCTAAAAACAAATTCACAAAATTTAAAAAGTGATTATGATGAATATAAGCAAGTATAACCAAGTGTCATGTAATTAAAAAAATTTACTTTACCTTTTTTGATGACAGCCAATCATCTTCAAGCAAGTCTCCCTCCTCAAAATCACTGTCAATTGATTAAAATATACACACTTTTACAATAAAATCTTCATGAAAAGCAAGATACTCTCACTGCAGAGCAAAACAACCAACATTTTCTATGCAAAGACCACACTCAACAGCAAGCAAAAACATATATATCTATGCTTCTGTAATCTATGACAAGTAATTGTGTTTCCAAAAACCTGATGACATCATTTCCAGTCTGTGGAAAAGAGACATGAAAAGTGCAGAGCAAAACAGAGCCAGAAAAATGGCATCGATGAGGACTTACCTCTCCAAGTCATCATCATCTTCTCCTCTCCGTCTTCTTGACCTTTCAGCACCAGGCTTATCATACTCATCAAACTCATCATCTATGTACAAACAGGAGAATGATCATGTTATGAATGATTACATAGTACATGTTCAGGCCTCGCACACAAAATATATTGTGACACTTGGGACTCAGAAAGGCCCATTTTTACAGGGGCAGTTCATTAAAACAATGAAACTATCATCCGTGATAACTTTTAAGGTCATTTTACCTTTGGTGCCTTCTTCCATTATATAGACTAAACAACTGAGAAATGTATTGATATATTGTTTGTAGGGCTGGGCGATTAATCGAAATCGACATTCGGAACCTATAATCAATCTAAATATTCCAGGCCAATTTTTGAAATTATTCCCCACATGACCCCGCTCTGTTAAGGCTGATTTATGCTTCTGCGTCGAACGGATGGGTATGAGTATGGGTATGGTCCGGTGCAGCCTTCACATGGTTACATACCTGAGCACCTCTCAAAAAATGTTACTACACATCACACGTTTGCACTACATTGTTGATGATTGGAAGCTGCACCAGAGATGCCTTGAGATGGCATGTTTTCTATTACAATCAAATTATTATTTACATTAAAATAATTGTTTACAGATGATGCAAGAAATGCACAGCATAAAACATTATTTACAGGACATGCAAGTGTTTTTTATTTAGAAGAGATGCTCCTTTTTTCTACTTTTAATATGAAAAACTCTGAAAGTAATTTATTTTGTTTCCAAAAGTGCAAATTACCCATTTTCACTTTTTTATAAGAAAAAAGTGACTGTTGGTTTTAGGCAACGTATGCTTTAGTTTCAGTTGTTCAACAATGATGTTCAATAAATAATCATAGGTAGTAGATTGCGTGTGTTTTCTTAAATTATTTTAAATCAAGAAGTGCCCCTTTATTCAAAAATCTCTCAATTATAATATGTGAGCATATTTACTGTACAAAACCTCTCAGTGAACTATGAGGGCAAAATATTTTAAATAATAGCTCATTAATCGTAATTAAGTTAAAACATTCAATTAATCAAGATTTAGATTTTAGGCCAAACAGCCCAGCCCTAATTGTTTGTGTGAAACAGAAAGTTTCATTTTGTGGTTAAAAAGTCTATTAAGTGTATAAAGCAACAACTTTTAAAATTACATAATCAGCTTTAAACTCTACAAGAAACATTTCAAAATTCAACCAGAAAAGAAGCCACTTCAAAACAATATCAAGTCACTTTTTGTTTAACGTTAGATTCTAAGCTCCACAACAAGCCTTCATCTAATCATGATTAGAGCATAACTATGCAGCACGATTATGCTAAAGCAACAACTGCTTTCAAGCATATTTCATCTGCATCTAAATGAAATCAGATACAGAACAAGAATACAGCATATATAACGTACTGTAAATCTAATCAACCTGTCAAGAATATATCAATTAACGTAAGAACGGATTAAATAAATGACGAACCCATCTATAAGAGAAAATGTTGTAAAGCACACACACTTTTTATAAGTTATTATTACACAGTAACAAATAGTCTAATAATTGTTAAAAACATGATTATCCCAAAATGTATACCTCTCGTCTGGTTAAAACAAGTGTTGCTCAGTGTCGAGACAGATGCTTACATAACCAACACAGACACAACCTCATTTCACTACATACGACATTTCTTAACCCAGTAAATAAATCCCTATCAATATACAAAACATCCGTCGGGGCTTCACATATAAACACAGATAACTCATTCATTGCAACATTTCAGCTAGCAATCACGAATACGCATAAACAAGCAAATGCAAGCTTACTCATAACACGATCGTTAACACGACACACCATAACAACAATAATCAGTCAAACAAACAGTCGTGGTATAAAGGTAAACAGTATTTAATCTGTAAACCCACTGCACAATTAAGTAGCGCATCAAATTGTGAAACAAAAGCAGCTAACGTTACGTCTTTAGCGCTAGCATGGAGCTAAAGTAATTGTAAATAAATATTACGAAACACTTCATACCCCCGACAATGGTCGCCATAACCCAAGACTGTATGTTATCTTGGAGACTCTGGTATCTCTATAACGTCGATGAGTGCATTGAAACTGGTTTAAGTGCAGAGCTTCAGGCCGTTAGCTTAGCATAAACCTCTTCAGTCTGAGCTCTGAAAACATCTGCACAGCAAACATGGCGGCTGAGCCGTATTGCATCATGGGTTTGAAATTGCAAGGCTGGCTGCGCCTACAAAATATAACAGTCCGGGTATTTATTTTAACTTACAGTGCGTTCCAGTGATGTGAAGAACAGAATAGAGCTTGCCTTACATGACTTTGTAACACAAACTTTTAGAATTCTAATTTAAATCTAACAATTAAGTACAAATGTGTCTGTACAATGCTATTTACCCGCTTAAAAATAAATGCGTCATAAAAAAAGCTAGTAAATAGGCTAATTTTAAAGTGTCCTTTACAAGCTAAAACCTCCTCAATGCTCGACTTGTTGATTATTGGGTATTTAGATTACATATTTTTGATGTCAAGTATCAGTAACAGTAAAAATGTAGATAACATGTTATTTATCTATTTATTATTATTATTATTATTATTATTATTATTATTATTATTATTATTATTATTATTTGACAGCTGGAAGGGCATCCACTGTGTAAAACATATGCTGGATAAGTTGGTTGCCGATTCATCCTGCTGTGACAACCACAGATTAATAAAGGGAATAAACTGAAAAGAAAATGAATGTATTATTTATTATTATTGTTGTTGTTGTTGTTTTTGTTGTTAAATATTTTGGTTACCTTTTCATTATTTTAAGGTCCTAGGTCAATGTATATTTTCCACAACACATTATTCATGAAAATTAACCATGTTTTTGCAAATAAATGAACATATTAATAAAGAATGATTAATAATGTAGGCTATCAATACAATAAAAACAAAACCTGGTTACTAGCCTACACTATTTCTGTAAAGTTTCATTTTTGCAAGGGCTCAAAAGATTAGCATATAGGTAAAAAAAATGTTTGTGTTCCATAGTAAATTATTGAATAATTAGTGCAATTAATTTTCACCACATTTTATTGTTGCACTTAATTCCTGATAGTCATAATCATAATCATCTTAATAGTTATAATTTAGTGTCTCTATAACAGAGATCTTTATCTGTTCTCTCAAAGTGGCATGTTGTGCAAGTGTTATTAATTTTACTTGTAATATAGCTGTGATGTAATATTTTATGAAGAAATATAATCCAGACATATTCGCTATATTGTTCTGGGGTTACTTGAGTAAAATTGTTAAAATTTGCATTAGTGTTGCCATTATGACGTAACTTCAATTACATTACGCGCAATGAAATATGTTAATATTAATAACCCTGTTATGAATAAACCTACATATGCACTGGCATTCTGCTCTGTTTGTCTTCAGTTATTCAATTATTCAACTAAATATTTTAAATTACAATGTAGATAATATAATTGTTTAAATATTTTACATTAATAATACTTTTGAAAAAATAAAATTGAATACAATCTAATTTGTCCATGGTGTATTTGTTTATCGAAGACAAGACTTCTCATCAACAGGGGCCATGTTATCTTATTGTAATCTTTAACATTTGCACATTGTTTTAATAAATGTTTTATTCATTTAATAACAGAAAGTAAATACAAATATAATTTAACATATAAAATGGTGGTTGTTGCTTAAAAATCGTGCATGCTAGACTTACATCTAAATTAGTTAATCTGAAGTAATGTTAAGAGGGAGATCTTTCCTATCAAACCTTATGCCAAATTAAGGATTGTCATATGATATAGGGTGGGAAGAAAATATACAGAATATCCTCCCAAATGATGGGTGAAAGCACATCCGTGTTTTAATAATGAAGAATAATCATTTTTGGAGGAGTAATTAGCTTTTTGTGAAATTCTGAAATTACTCACAAAAGTATTTAATAAAAACACAATTAGTGTGTTTTATCTATCTATCTATCTATCTATCTATCTATCTATCTATCTATCTATCTATCTATCTATCTATCTATCTATCTATCTATCTATCTATCTATCTATCTATCTATCTATCTATCTATCTATCTATCTATCTATCTATCTGTGCCTGAGGTTATATCAGATTTATGTCAGGTTCAGACAGAAACATGTGAAGCTTTTTAAATTGTTCTATTTTGGTTTTATCTTCACTTTTGAAAAACAATAATATATACAGTTGAAGTCAGAATTATTAACCACTCCTAAATTATTAGCCCCCTGAATTATTAAACCCTGTTTTTCTCTCTCTCCCCAATTTCTGTTTAACGGAGAGAAGATTTTTCAACACATTTCTAAACATGATAGTTTTAATAACTCATTTCTAATCACTGATTTATTTTGTCTTTGTCAAGATGACAGTAAATAATATTTTTCTAGATATTTTAAGACCCTTCTATATAGCTTAAAGTGACATTTAAAGGCTTAACTAGGTTAATTAGGTTAACTAGGCAGGTTAGGGTATTTAGTCAAGTCATTGTATAATGATGGTTTGTTCTGTAGACTATCTAAAAATAGCTTAAAAGGGCTAATAGCATTGACCTTAAAACTGTTTAAAAAACATTTTTGTTCTAGCTATAATAAAACAAATAAGACTTTCTTCAAAAGAAAACATATTATCAGACATACTGTTAAAATTTCCCTCCTCTGTTAAACACCATTTGGGAAATATTGAAAAAAGAAAAAAGAAATCAAAGGGGGGCTAATAATTCTGACTTCAAGTCTGTCGTTTTATTGAACACTGTGCCTTTATTTTATGTAGAATTAGGCTGAGTGTAGTTTAAAGCTATGGTCGCAAACAGAGAAGCTAGCAAATTATTGTGATGCACTTTGTTTTTTTCACTCGACTCGTATTCAGACAACATAAAGCGCAATGGCTGAGAGATAAACCTAATTCATCCCCCACCTCCAATCATATTTCTTTGACTGCGATTGTTTCCTAAAGATTATTTTCTCTCTGCATCCATCCGGGGAGTCATTCGGAGGTTATCATTTTTGGGGCTGTTGTTATTGGATATCATGCTGAAATTCGGGACGCCATTGGTCTGGCGCTTGTCAGTCTGTGGCGCGCCGACACTCGTGAACGCGCTGCGCAGACAGTGCACGACACGTAAGTGGCCAGAGAGTGTCTGGAGTCTGTCTGAAACTGATAAAAATGGTGATGGAGTTTATCCAGAGTCTCGCTCATAGTCAGTAGCAAAACAAAGGGAGACAGAGCGGAATTTTGCAGGCGTCCAACACTGTAGCCATTTTCGTAGCGTGAAAATGAGATTCTATTGTAGCGCATCTCAAAGTTTCAGTCCATGTTTTTCACCAGACAGACAGACAGTTCATTAATTCACAGGTAAGACGATCGTGGCGGGGCGCAAATCTTTTGTCTAATGCAGTCTGCCGTTGTTATGGTGATTGTGTTGTTCATGAATATATGACCTAATAACTGTGTGCGATGATGCTAATTCCTAGCAAACAAGACGGCGCATGTAAACCGCTGGTCGGCTGCAGGGTGGTCATTTTAATGTGATTACATGTTAGCGCATGTCGTTCGGCGGGATGAAGAAAGAGTTTATCGCGATCGTCTCTTCAGACAGATGACGCACCTGTGCTCACGTGAGCGCGGTTTCTCATTAACCCCATGAACTCGTGATGCCAAAACACTGTGCTGCTGCCGCTGCAGTGTGAATTTCAGCCTGCCTGGACTGTTTTCAACACGGTAAAGAAAGCCATGCGCCAAGTCGCCTGTTGTTTATCCGCAATTTAAGGCCATTTTTTTCTTAGCGTGAGACTTCCTCTTGCGGTGAATGTCCGCGTTGTAATTCTTCATGGTTTGGAGTTTAGTCTGTGTTAGAGAGCAAAATAGGCTGTGGTTTGAGGTAAGGAGCTGGTTGGTCAAAAGGCAGAAAACTTCAAAGGTATTTGCCAAAACTACTGCCAAAATGTTAAACGCCAAAAGCTCCTTACACCTTGTTTGTAATCATACTTGTCTTCACAGATCGTAACTGGTGTCATTTCTGTTTCGCGCACGGATGGTATGGTCCAAAGTGAGTGGTTCGTTCCCCATAAGTAGTAAATTAATTTACCCTATTTTAATTAAAATCTCCCCATTTAAATTCTAACATAGTCTACAAGAAGCTTACTTTTTCGATCCATAGTAAGCATAGGGAAAACCGAAGCGAGTAAAAGCAGGAGTTGATAGGCTACACAAATGTGTTTTATCTTCAGAAGTTTTTCCTGATTTTAAACTTATTTTAAAACTTTTGTTTTATTGTCAATTTAATTAGGCTAATTGTACAATCCCAACATGGCAACCCTTTGAAAGGTTTAAAACTTTTCAAAACCCTTTGAATCCTGCAAATTGATCTAAATCAACTATTACTTAAAGGCAAAATAATTACCCAAAAATAAATCTTTAACAGGAAATTAGATTTATTTATTCTTCTTGGTGAAAAAAAATGCTTTCGCTTATAGCTTGTTTTACAAATGTGAGATTATGGAAAGTTGCTTCATTTATCTTGGGGCATGTTATTACATTTTGAAAACGTTTTACAAATAAATATTTTAAATGTGTGATTCTGAATATTTTTGTACTTTCATTTAGTCATGTTTTCATTTAATTCTAAAGTGTTTCGTATTTGCTTTATTTAAATTTAGCTGAAGAGTCAGTTACAAGCATTTTAATGGTCATGAAGTTTACCTCATATTCTGTAGTGCCAACACACCCTAAAATACAAAGTCAGTTTGAATAGGCAAATAACAGTGAAAATATTCAGTAGTTTTTATATATCGCCAAGTCTTTAAGATTTGTTTCTCAACAGTAGCTGACTTCAGAAAATGCTGAGGAAGACTCTCTTGAGTAATACCTTTTCCTATTCCTTATATATCATGTAGGACTACGATAATGGGGCATTTAAAAATGTAAATAAATGCATAAAGAATTACATTTTTTATTTTTAAAAAAATCATATTTTCTCGCTGTATTTAAAAGTTGGCAATCAGTTCTGGCATTTTGTTGTGCTTGGATCAGAATCATGAATCAATGCAGTGAATTCTGCTGACCAAAACATTTCAGATGTAGTCAGGCTACCATGCATTATTGTGAATTTGTTGTTTTTCTTCTTTATATTCACATTTATTTTACAGTCTAAAGTTTTTCCAACAGTTAGAATAGTTTTTTCTTCTTAAATTTTTACAAATTGTGCTTTTTTGACCTATTTCATGTTCAAATTGGTCAGTATTAAAAAGGCACATCGAGTCTGTTGCCCATGTGGCTTGGCTTTGCATGCTCATGCATTCATAGTTTTAAAGCAGACAGAGACATCTCTCTTTGATATTGTTATCAAATGAACAGTCATAGGTCTCAGCTTTTCAGTCATATGCAAAACAAGATGGCTACTTCACGGGAGGCACAAGCCTATAGATTTGTAGATATAGTGGTCCCTCTTTTATATTAGAGTTTGAGTCAGCGTAAAATGTCTCGGTAAGAGAAACTGGGACCTTGCACTCAGAGGATGGTATCTCACTCTACAGTTAAAATTGAATGGACCTAAGTTTATGTAAAAAAAAAAATCATTTTTTCTCATTTGTGATTTATAATAAATCAATGCACAATAAAAAAAATTCTCCATCATCTACGAAGGTCACAAAAGGTTATGGTGAGAAATTATTTATCTTTTATTTCATTGTCATCGATGGCCACTAAGTTTGAAAAGTTATGTTTTTGAACCTAATAATTCAAATAAAATGTGCTTTATATGACGCATGAAATTATGTTTTAATTATTCTGAATGTGATATTGCAATAACTCATGTCAACCATTATCAGAAAAGCAAGAGCTCTGTTAAGACAAATTTTTAGTTATAATGGCAACGTTAACTAAACATCAGCTATTAAACATTTGTAACATGAGGTTGAATTTACTAAGCATCTATATCCACGTTTATTTAAAATTTGCTGTGTTCAGGTCAAAATCTAGTTAATAAATACTAATAAATGAATAATTATGTTAAAAATATAAGATAAATAAAAAGTTTAAAAATCGTGGCTTTTTATTTCATTAGTAATAATTCAATAGGTCAAATAAGCTTGTACATTTATATTGCATAATGATGTATACCTGCAAACTGCTTAGTACTTTTTCAAGACAGTACATCGAGTTTTTTAGCACATGGTCATTTTCAAATAGGTGTGGTTCTTCATGAGACGCTTTAAGAAATCTGTTGGCTAAAGGAAAAGTATTTTTGTTGCCTACAGCATGAACTGATGGACAGATATTTTCGGCCAATTTGAGCAGCTCTGTGCATGCAGAAGATGTTCGTTTTGTTTGCGTACTTGACATGAGGTTTTCATTACTGTAATGTTTGATGGTATTATAAATGCACCGCTGCACATTTCTGTATATCAGTTCACCTTACAGGCCTATCAGTGTCCAACCATGTCATGTTTCAACTGCTCAGACCGTATGTGCCTGTGTGTTAGCATTCATGCATGTTGCTTTAGCTCACACGCCCGTTTAGCATTTGGTTGTAAAAATGTTTGGTATTTGAAAATGTGCTACCTGTTACTGGAGTTATGATCTTACACTCCCTGTATTTTTATTTTAGTTTGTATTGCACAACGATTTAATTGAATGATAAATGAAAAAATTGTTACAATCGAAAAAAAATATTTTAGTAATTTATGTAAAAAAATAACCTCAGTGCATCAAGTGTAATAATGTTTTTATTTTGCATCAAAACTCATTAGCACTGCTAGGGTTTTGAAATATGCATATTTTATTCTTATATTCACCCTAATTCTTTGTGTTTGGGTTTTCTTTTTAGGCAGGATTATCATTCTGGTACCTGCCGATGACCTTTCGGAGTTGTCACCAAATCATCTACCCTTAAAAGTGATGCGAGTGTTGTGCTGCCGTGCTGATGGTAGGTTTTAAAGAGCGTTTCCCACCCTGTTCTCTGTGAAGCACATTTGGGCATGTCATGGAAAGAGAGGTGAAACGGCAGGAATGCAGAGAGATGCGCGAAGGCGCGATTATAAAAGCCTGCAGGCTGATGAGTGTGCATCAGAGAGGCTAATGCTAACCGAAACCACACTCTGTTTATCTTTGTCAGATGTGACGTTTGAAATGGTGCTGAGTAATCGAACTTTCAGCTTGGGAGACCAATCATTTCCAGTACTCTTCTCTCATATGAATTTCTAACTGATTTCTTCATTGAATACAGTTGATCGTATAATTACGACAGATAAATTAACATGGAAGTAAAAAGTCTGGCGATGAAATGCGAAGGTAAAGGGGAAAGCTTCTTAGAAAAAGAATATTTTCTGAGTGTGTATGTATGCCCAAATATTTTTTTGGAGAGGAGTGATAATGAAAAGGGCAGCCATTTTTTGTTGTAATGTCCAACAGCGCCCCCCAGGTCTTTCTCTGTAGCTCTTATGGATTTGGTGTGTGAAAGAACAAGGTTCTCACTCCCCTGCATTGCTTGCATATATTCAATATCAAAGCCACAATGGCATTTTAAAGGGATCACTGGCAGGCAGCCAAAACATAGAGCCTCTCTCTTTTTGGTGGCTGTCCTGGCTTACTTGCTTTCTTCCTTTTACTCATGTCCTCGTGCTGATGGCAGCGTAACGTCTGACTCTTCTCAAAGCTTTACCCAAGTGCTGGAGCGAGACATTGGATGTATTAGGACAGCTGCCTCCATTTTAGGGAGGAGTTTTGCAGAGGAAGATGGATACCCTTTGCCACACTGCCAGATTTTGCAGCTTGAATCAGACTCGAGGCATCGTCTGCAATATTTGGCTACGTTTTTGTTGTCCGATGTTTGTTTCTTAATCGAATGTGATACATTTACTCAATATTTCCTTCGATCGCGTTTGTTGTTTTTGTGAGATGGTAAATTAGATGAAACACGCTTTGGGTGCATAGTTTACCATGAAGCAAATGTGCTTTTGTCACTATTTTTGACCTTCCTCATTGCTGTGATTTGATTTTTCTTGTTTATTTATATTTTTAGTGGCCACACACACGTATCGTTTTTCAGATTCATCTGTTTTTCTGAAAGTGTTATTCCTAATTAATTTAAAAAAAGAAATGGCATAATGTCTTAAATAAAAAGCTGCCTTTAGGCCTTCAGGATTTGACTGGTAAATGATGATGTGCTCTAATCTGCTGTGAAATGTCATTGTCTTTATTTCATATTACTCGGGCAGTTTGTATAACTATGCTATGCTTGGATTTTTTTTTTAACCTACAAGTTGCACATTGGAGGGATAGTATTATATTAAGCAAATTTAAAATGACACATTACTTTAGAAAAATTCAGCAACGAACCAAGTTTTTTAGTTGTATTGTGCCCTTTAATTTACGTTTTTTTAGTTCAGTCTTTCTAAATATTTTAATGATTCCTGTCTCTCTATCGTTGGTTAATATCTTTAAAGATGACGTTTTTATTATATCAGTCTTTCTGGTGTAAACATCACCAATGAGAATATGTGCACATTTTGTTATAGATGTTTATTGTATTTAATGCAGGTAAATACATTTAGCTAAAAAGGTTACGAAAGTGAAGTGTCCATTTAAAATATTTTGTTGTTTTGTGTAAATACAATAATTTAACAATACTTTATTTTAAATAGCTTATTAATCGTCTTGTATTCATAATGTCAATTTAAAAGTGTTTCGTTGGTGTAGATTAAATTATTGGTGTAGGTAGGGTTATTTTTTATTAATATAATTAAAATGTAATTGTAAGTTTGTTTTTAATATTGATGAAAATATTTTATGCTTTTTCACGTGATAAAGCTATGATATGAGTGAGACTGGTTTTGGTGTGTGTTTGAAGCCACAAAGATGCCATTGACAGTGTGTGCGTGTGTGTTGAAGGGTGCATTTGTGGCTCATGTTTGTGGCCTTGTGCTTCAGCACACAATGTTCTGGAAAATTCGGCCTCTTGTGTGAGACTTTAGCCATGTAATCTTGCAAACTTTTTGAAATGCCGGGCTTAGGAGAATTTTCGTAATTATTAGTGTGGCTTAATTTTTTAAAAATTACGGGAGTAGCAGTATGCAACAATGTTAAAAATATCTGTAAAAGAAATAATATTTATTGTCACATTTGCCTTAGTGTTTCTTTATTGTGCGCTATTAATGTGTAATGAAAGTTTAACATTTATAAACTTTTGCAAAGTACCGACAGTTGTAATAAACACCTTATGTAATATCGTGCAGCGATTATATAATACTTAATAGTCATTTTGGTGCTGTACACGAGAACAGTGTAGGAAAAAAAGAGTGACTGTTTAAATGTTGCAGAGGTTGAGAAATGTTGATACTGCAATATAAAAAATGCAGGTTGTTCCAGGCATATCAGTGATTAGGCTAAAATGTTATATACCACTGCAGTGAAAAGTAACATCTTTCGGAATAGATTTTTACTTGTACTTGTGATTTCGTGTTATTTATTTATACTTCATATATCCCATTGTTTTTTTAACACTTCTTGCATAAATATTTAGATATTTCTGTTTCAGATTTTTCTGTGTTCTTTTATATGGAAAAATTTCTTTTTATATGGAAAATATACAAGATTTTTTTTTAAAGAAAGGCCGTTTAAATGTAGAATCCAACTATTACTGGTTGTTTGTGCCTGTTTGTTTGCAGAAAAGTCTTCGACTTCATGTCATCATATCAGTGCATTCATAATTAATTATCTGAGCTGGACTTTTCAAGCATAGCAGATTCTAGTCTGTGCCAGTTGAAATTCCAGTCATCGCTAAATGTAGTTTGTTTGATTTATAAACTCCTGTAGAGTCCTTACGTTTTACTGTCTCTTCTAGATTTCTATTAGATTCAGCTCAATTTTGGATGTGAACATTGAAAGTGCTGTGTCCTTGTATACATTTATTCCTCTTTAATGGCTTTTCAGTGTTTCTGCTTCTATTTGCAAGCACATTAAAGTACACATTGTTTAGTACATTTTAAAAATATTTTTCTATTTGCTTGGATCTTTCGATCTGCCTATGATTCAGCTGGCTTAGCATTAAGTATCATTATTGAAGCTTTCGTGGCACTCAAAAACAATAATATTCAAATGCATTTTGCTTCCTTTTCTCGTTGAAAGCATTCATATGCATGATGCTATTTGTTATGTTTCACTTTTTATTTATTTTTTATTGTTATATGCATGTTTCCTTAGCTGTCTGAATGATTTATTAAGTTTAGAAGGAGATGGTAGAAAGAAGGTTTGTTTATTCCATCATCCCTAAAGGCACAGTATTTTAATGAAACATCATCTCTCTCTCTCTCTGACTCACACTCTCTCACTCTTCCATTTTTACTTTTTCACAACTGCTAATCATTTAATGGTCTTTCAATTAGTCTAAATGAAGCCAGTGAATATGCCACTTTTTGACATTAAATGACTGAGTTACTGCATCAAATTTGGCTTCATATTAAAACAGATGAAGAGCATTTAATCGCTAAGCATTTTAATTCGCTCTCTCCATGTCTTCAGCTACGAACGTTTGTTTTCCCAAATAAAGTATCGATTGATCTCAGGAGGTGATACTCAGATTTAACCTCGACCCTAGTTTTATTCTGTCAGGTGCTGAGGCCTGTCAAACAGTCAAAGCGTTCATCGGCGCCTACATTTCATCTGCTAGAGGATGTGTTGATGGGTTGAAAACCAAATGAACTGGTCACAGCGATTAAAGGCCAAGTGGTTAATCCTGGCAAAGAGACTGTGACACAAACACCAAATGAACACTGCAACTCTTCGATAAGAAAGAGCAGTGCTTAAGTACGCAAACATCCCAAATATCAATTTCACGTCTGATGTGCCACCGACACTCAAGGTGTGAGAGTGCAGGGGTTACGCCAAACAGGCCCTTGGCAATGGTATCATGTTATCTCCTATCAATTAGTGCCTAAAGGAGATTAACCCCTGGAACATAGAGGAAGCTGATAGGATCACTGTCGAATTGCAAGGGTCACCCATTTCCCTCATTAGCGATGACCTCTCTCTCTCCATCTGCCTCTCTGTCTGTCATTTTTATATATGCACTCGTTTAATAGGGAAGTGGACTGATATGTTTTTGTGGACATGTTATCATGAATGTCTTTTGGAAGGAGGGTTAGATATTGGGTGATTAGTCATGCTGTGTTGTGTTGTGTTATGCTGCTGCTGCTGTGGTTCAGGTGAGAGTGAATCAGCAATGTATTCAGAGTTGACAGCATTTCTCTTATAACAAGGCCATCCGAATGAAGCCCAGAGTTTGAGTCTGGCTAATGTTGGTGCATCGTGGCACATTGGGAATAAACTGCTGCTGACCTTACTCTGTATTCATGAGCATGTGCTGGTGTTTGTGTCTCCTCTGGAAAAGTTTGGTTGTAACAAATAACTTGAAGCAGGCTTAAGCCCAAATGAGAGCTAGAATTTTAGATATGGGTCAAAGGCAAGATGGCCGTTTTGGTGTCTGCGTCAAATAAAGTTTTACGAAGGTTGTTTTATATAGGAAAATTAAATGCAAGTGTCTGCTTTAACCCGTGTAATCCAAATTCTTTTCTTACAATTTGAGTAGATGCTTTTCACTGCATAGGCCTTCCAAAGACACAAAATGCATGCATACTTTGATATAATGTTGATTCAGTTAGCGTTTTTTTGGGGGATTTAGATTTTTACAATAGTGACCGGTCAGAAACGGCATGGTCAGAATTTCATTGCAATTAAAAACATTTGTTATACTGCTGGTCACAGTAGGGTATGTGCACATTCCATACCAATATACTTTCGTTGAACGCTTAACGTGACTTTTTTTCTATTTTATATGGTACCTTTTACAGCATCAATGTTGTAATGTCATTAAAATATAGTCAGTTAAATAGACTTCGGCATTCATTTAGTTGTTCAAGTAAAACAAGA